CTAAAGTTTCCACCACTGTTGGCATAGCACACGGTTTTAACTCTGTCATACTGTTTAATTGTCGAAAGTCAACACAGAATCTATACTTCCCATTCGCTTTCTTTACTAACAGCACTGGAGAGTTGTACGGGCTATCAGCTTCTTCAATCATATCGTCTTTTAACATCTCTTGCACTTGTCGCTTCACTTCGCCTTCCAGATGACATGGTATTCTTCGCGATGTAAATGACATTACTTTTGGATTAGTTAACGGAATTTCATGATTCACCTTGTCGCAATAACCGTATGGATCGCCATCTCCAGTGAATAGATGATCGTATTTCTTAATTAAATCTGTCATGTTGTATACCGTCGACAGGTTCACCGCTGCTATCTCGCTGGTCTCATACATTTTGATACGCCCGTATTTCGTGACCACCACTTTCGCTTGCATGTCAATTATTGCACCAATCTCCCGCAGAAAATCCGCTCCTAATATCGTTCGCTGTAGTTCGGGCACAACAATGAAAGGAAACGTCACCTCGCACCCTCCAACAACAATCGTACAGTTCGACCTACCCGTTATACGCAACACATGCCCGCCTACTGTTTGTACTGTTAACGAACACGGACTAACGCTCTTACATAAATTCTTATCTATCAACGACACGGCCGCTCCTGTATCTACTAAGCATACTACTTCTCGATCATTTACTCGCAACTTCGAATACATAGCCCCTTTCTCAATCGCCCCCACTAAGTCTAGGTTCACACGAAAGAAAGAACAAGCATTATACCGTCTGAAATTCTTCCTTTTCTGTCTTTCTGGGCAGTCTCTTCTCCAGTGTCCTGGTTTGCCGCATTCAAAACATCGGTTTTTTCTATTACCCAACTTTAACGCCGCCACTTCCCGCTGCAATGCTTCAATTTGCTGCTCATATTCATTAGGTTTCGGCTGCTCTATAGCGGCTACGGTCGTGCTCAGCAGCTGTCTGGTCACCTTCGCTAGCTCACTAATATCCATCGGTTGCGTTGCGTTAACCAGTTTTAACTGCTGAGAAATGTGGTCTGGTACACTCTCGATGAATTGGGAAGATAGTAACTGCTCTTCTGATTCTTTATCCAACGTGGGAAGCGCCCGTCGAAGTAAATTCGTCAATTTCACCGCCAATACTAACGGGTCTCCATCAAGTCCCAGCCTCGTTGATCGGAACTGCTGCATCGCTAGCTGTTTGTCTGTTGCGCTGTTGAACTCCGACACCAAATTTTCAACCAATCTCTTCCAAGACACTGTGCCGTTTGACCGGTCTACGCTGTCATATGCCGCCTTCGCTCGGCCTCTCAACAGCCTCCCCAGAACAACTGCCTTCGCCGCCTGCTCCTTGACACCCACCAGCTCAGCTACGGCTTCGAAATCACGTAGGAAGCTCCGTAGGTCTCCCTCCTCAAACGCAGCTGGCCACGGGATCTTCATTTTTCCGGAGGCAGCGACACCAAATGTAACAACAGAAGACAAGGCTGGCAACAGATCAGTTTTATTACGAAAACCAACAGGTATTTATATGTATTTTACGTACATTAATAAGGCTTCTGCCCGCAGAAAGAAGGCGGTCTTCTGATTGGTTGTTTGCAAACAAACGCAGTCTTCTGCTTTCTCGTTTTCGATATTTTTCGGAAATGCGAGCCACTTGTCTGCGAATCATATTTGTCCACGTTTAGGTCAGCTGTGATTGGTTGTTGAGTCAGCCTAGATTAATTTCTACCAATCAGTGTAGATCAGTGTCTATCAATTGGCTAGCAGCTTGCTCTCACCACACCTGTATCCATGCTGAAAATTCCATACTTGTACTGAAAATACGGTGTGGCATCAAGCCGTAAAAAAGAATAAAAAACAAAATCACATGCGGTCATACACTTTACACACCGACAGTTAGGTGCACTCACTCCTGAGCTATTCCTAAGGTTGTGCAAAACATACGTCAGACTACAGCTTGAAGTGCACAATATCACTGCACCTACATTGCTTAGAAAAGACGCTAACTTCTTGGAAAGAGTCCAAAGATGGGAGACAAAAGGAGTAGTTGGTCTCCGAAATGAACCATATGATGAAAGGCTAAAGAAATCAGGCCTATTCACACTTAGCTACCGTTGGCTTATGGGGGACTTGACTGCTGCTTATAAGATAACAAATGACCAGAATCACCCAAACAAAGGTGTTCTGCCATTGAATAAAAATAATAATAATAATATTAATAATAATAGCTTTATTCCAAACAGTATTTGTGGTACATGTATGGAATTTTCAGCATGCATTACAATATTGCATCTAATTACCTCATAAATTTTTATAAGATTTTAAAAATAAAAGCAACAACAACAACAGGAAAAATAGAGAAATAAAAGAAATAAAAAGGACGACATTGCATTCACATATTTAAATAATGCACCACAGGATATGAAATGTAAAATTAGTGTGTAATAGAATATGTGAGCAACAATATAATAGTAACAACGAAAGGAGAACAAAAGCTAATGGGAACTATTTGTTAGAGTGCCGCAGTAAGTTGATCGTGTCATACTTAACAGTTTTCTCATCACATAACAGCTGTGCCAGATAAGGTATTGTGGAGTTTTTGTACTTGGTAGTCCTGGTATATAGCCTCCTATAGTTGCTTCTAGTTCTACCAGATGAAATGCAAGGAGAGAGCTGCGTATAGAGAGGGTGTTCGGGGTCTGAAAATATAGAATTCGCTAGTTTCTTACATGACATTATATGTCTGTCCACAATGGTGTTAACCAGTTGGTTTAATGAAATCCCACTTCCCCTACTAACAGCTTTTAGTGCCCTACGCAGCAAAGCAAAGTCTTTCTTAAGTAATCCAGGAAAGATTAATGGGGAGCAGTAAAGAGGGATGGTTAGAATACAAGAGTTGACAAACTGGGCCTCCTCGTGGAAATCTACGACAGAGAGCCCACCAGGATGCAAATACTTGGGTGCGCTCCCACTTCTTTTTACTACGGTTTGCCGTCCCTGGAACTTCTTATCCGTAGATGTAGCTACAGTATCGTTCGAGGAAAGCTTTAAACGAAGGCCGGACAATCATGCATCGACAAAAAGATCGTGTCAAAATGGCCTATCCCCTCAAAATAACATACACCAGTGGTTTTTTCATTTTATATCTAGTAATTTTTTTTCGTATAAACTGCTGTTTACAGGAAATGCATGCCATTTTTACAGGCACGATCAGTTATGTTACCAATTACAGTCTTTAGGCATCATAAGTTTAGCGGTAAATAATTCCTCAAAATTATTGACCACAGCAATCATCCCTGAACATCGGATGCTGACCCTCACTGTTTAAGTCGACTTGTTTAGCTGAAAGTTTCCGGTCAAGCATCCATGCCATTTGGTACTCCGTCGTGTCACGTGCATGCACAATCACTAGCCAGCTAAATATTCACTTCAGCTCACGATTTGGTCCCGAAATATATCTCGTACTTTGGACGATCAATCTTGCCTTTTGCTTTGTCTTTGGTACACGAGAAACGAATACTTTAGAAGTTGTTGGTATCAGATCTTGAGTCAGTATACTCCGCACAATTCGCAAACGTCGATACCGTCAGCCTCTAAACTGGTGGGCCCGACGTGATGATTGCTGTGGTCAATAATTTTGAGGAATTATTATTATTACCTCTTTTCTTTTGACGACGATACCGGAGGACTAACTGGTGAAAGGATCAACTCCGTTCACAGTAGTAACAGTCTTAACAAACCTCATACTACAAACCACATATAATTAATCCCAGCACTACTCCTTTTGGAGTCAACCGAAGCTATGACAGTCGAGTGGCTGGAAGAGCTACGCATAAGTTTACCGAAGATCAGGAACCTATACCTCATAATCAAGAGGCGAGCACAAAGAAATCAAATTGGTTTATGCTAGCTCGTAAAAAGGATATTGGATAACGTTTATACAAAACTATACACTGGGTTGTATTTTCAGTGAATAGTGATCATCTGAATGATTGGTTCTACTTGGATCAACACAATAAACTGATTGGCTATGTGAAAATATATGAGCCAACCTCCTAAATGACCTTAGCCAATCAGAATAAAAGACATTGAAAGTCATAATTTCGTTAGTAAATTGTATTAATAACGCTTATCATTGTAGTGATTTCTTGAATTCTTTTGATGGAAAGCATGGAAAATTTCCAAAGAAAGTTTTTGGTGCCAGTTAAGAAACAGAATTCGATCTATATATGTATTCTTAAACAAATGACTTATAGTGATATGTCGATGAGGCAATTTTAAAGAATAGATATCACGGCCAAATGACCCTGAACTAACCAATTAGGTTGCTCAACACTGCAAATGAATACTTTCCATAATCTTTGTTGCAAGTTTCACCCTGACCGAGGATTACGATTATGGTTAAGGTTGGGGTAAAGCTTACAACGAAGATTATGAAAAGGATCCATTTTAAATGCTGAGCAATGTGACTGTCATCATTAGCTTACATTGATCCTAAAGTGATTCATTCATCAGCATTAGTTGATCCTATAACTGGTACTCATACAAATTCTGATGAAAGATTTCGGGTGTATCTAAAAAAATTGGAGTGGATGGGTATATATATATATATATCCAGTAAACATGCTGTTTATGTTGTAAATGCCGTTTTTACCTAGAAGCATATGATTGGCCGATTCAAGGTTATTCAAATGTGGTATCTATTTTTAACTTTTGACGTTGATGAATACGTGCACCGAAGATCATTTTACCTTCCTATAGTCTTTTCAATCAGAAGCTGGGAAAATTACGTGGGTTATATAGTAAGGAGTCAAACAGTAACTACATTAATGTTTATAATCATTTGAAAGTACACTTTATTAATACACTTATGAATCTTAACTTTCCTTTAGTCTGATTTGTTGTGCAAGGTAATTTAGAAGATGATCGCTATACTTTAGCTCCTTCAATCAGATTTCAACAAGAAAATTTGTAAAAAGATCTATATTTAAGTATGAAAATCTTGTTTTACATTATTATCTGCAAGTTTTTCTTTCAGCTTTCTCCTCAGCAAATAGTCAAGATCACTTTGATCGTGAATCATCTTTGTGAGATAATTTTGACCCTTTTAATAGAAATCAAACAAAATTCATATATAAGAATAAAAATTGTGCACTGTGGTAGAGTATAATTCCATTATGGGTAAAATTTGTTTTGATAAAGTCTCACAGTGTTATACAGTAATGTTTACTGATGGCGTTTCGAGCACAAGAATGGTTGACCCCGAGAAGATAAGTAATTTAGAAAAAAGCTCAGCAATTGCACTGCATGCACTAACACAAAACCACACAATAGGGTGGGAAGGGGTTAAAATTCTAAAAAGTAATCTAGGTAGGTAGAGAGAGAGGTTGATTACTGAATCTTTGTTCATCGAGTCTACACCCAACACATGCAATAGGAATGACTCATCACTCATACCGGAAATATGGAGAATACTACTGCCAATCAAATCAAGCGATGAAAAATAATGGAATTATATAAATGAAGTTAGAAAGTTGTGTGAGTATTTTGATATGATTATGAGCAATAAATTTTGCTGTGAGACTTTATCAAAACAAATTTTACCCATAATGGAAAATTCATATATTTTAAAGTAATTGAATTATATTACTAAAGAACAGGGAAAATACAAGTAATGTGACCTCAGTTAACACAATTCATTGTCATAGAATTCATTATCTGTTTAAAAACATTTGGTCTACCATTGGTTAAACTTAACTCCCGTAGTGGTAATCAGTTTTCGCTATCTTGTGATTAAATATGACTCAACATTAACATTCGTTTGGCAAAGTCAAACGATAACGGCCAACACCAGTTATCTTCTCAATAACTGTCAACAGCCATTCATAGGAAAGTGACATGTTGTCTGGTAAATTTTTTAATTACCTGTATTTCCATATATATATATATATATATACTCAACATTATTCCTCCCATAATAGAGTAATAAAGTTACTCAGTTAAGCATTATAGACAATTCAATATCTAGGCAGAACTGGGAAACCACATCAAGAACTATGAATTATGATCTCAGTACATACATGGTATTCATGATAAACGATGTGGTTGGTTGGCTCAGGGTCATTTTTGAAGGTTATTTGGTTGAGTTAATGGCGATGGTTGCTATAAATTAACTTTCCCTTCTCTTTTTATAGTTTTTAGGTTTGAGTTGACTTTACTCAGCGAACTGCATTGTCAAACTTTGTTAAACACAATTGAAAGTAATATTATTTTATTAGAAGGCAAAAACACGGGAACCACTAACTGAATGCATTTTTGAAATTATAATATCCAAATTCAGGGATTGTTTAAATTATTCTTTTGCAAATTCCATTTATGCACAGTTATGTACTTAAGCGGATGTATATAAGGCATGAAATTATACAAGTGATAACTTTTAGTGTCATCAAAATTTTAATAGATGTAAAAAAAGCTTATTTCAACGAAAATCTGATATGAGAGCATAAAATATTTGTTGGAAAGTATGGTTAGAGCTACAGTGAATTGACAGCCAACTTGAAACTACTAAGAACCGAAGGGATTCCAGCCTGAAGAAGAGGTATCAGTTCATGAAATTACTGATATTTAGTTTGAGTCTTATAGAATACCTCACAGATATGTGTTTGACGCTTGAAACACATCGTTGACAAATGTCAACTGTATAATTCAGAACCAACGAAAGTAATCCATACTGAATTTATCTGTGAGGAAGTTGTCTAGAAGGACAGTGAAAGTTTTGTAGTCAAACCACCTAGCTGAGTTGAAACAATTACACACACCATAGGGATGTATACCATCAACTATTTTTTAAATAATTGATGTATCAGTACAACTGACTGTTTGTCAAAATTCACCTATTCTACCTTAAATAAGATGTTTGCCTTAGAGAAACAGTAAAATTAAGACAGATGATCTGGAGTTAGTGAAATGTAGACGCTTTTAATGAAGTCATTGAATTGCTTTCCAGTTGTCTTTATATCAATGGAAAATTTCAGTGTAACATCAAAAAAGAATCCTTAGTTCATACAAAATATTTTCAATGTTATCATAAAATTATTGAGAATAACATTAGTAATCTTAACGGGAAAACTTACATCAAATGTTAAAGTATAATCAAATTTCGTCTTTAAACACTTGGCAATCTGCTCAATTTGTTTCGACAACTTTTTAATGCTCTGTTGAAATTAAAAGATTTAAACCATGTAATAAGTATTTTTAAAGAAGTAACTATGCTAACAACTTGAGTTTTCAAAAACAAAAACTAACCATTTTTAAATGTATATCATGAAAGTAATAGTTGATACAGGCCAGCCGTAAAATTCTTTAATCCATGCTGTTCGAGTGGAACATATGACTTCAAGCTTTGAAATTACAGTAGCGACGGTAATGTTTTTACAGGGTGCATTTACTAGCCTCATACCTAAACTTCCTTCTTTTTCAGCCTTACAGTCGGCTAGTGAATTAGGCAAGATTTAAGAATGAGTTGACCACACATCGAAGCTGAACCTCTGAAATGGCTGGTTGGCGAGCATTTTACCTTTGAACTACCCACACAAAAATGAAGATAGAATCAACTAAGGTGAATAAAAAGGAAAGCTTCTTGCTTACATACCTGGATGATGGAGACAGTATAAAAAACATAAAACTTAATCCTTATGTATATATTTCAACATATTGTCTGAATTCTAACATGATCACCACAAAATTTGGCAATTTAAGTTTTGACCACATATTGGTTTGTGGGTGCTCATCAACACAAAATCCTAAATTGGGACCATATTAGTTATCGGGCAACATCTTAGTTATCACTGGTTTTTTTATTTGTGTGACTCTAACAAAAATTGATCAAAAGTATTAGAACGCTCAAAATCTACTTACTTTTTGTATTTTTGTGCGTTCATTTGAACGAGTTAATTCCATACGACAAGTGTCTAAAACCACAAAAGTTTTAATTTGTAATAGAAATCAGTCAGTTTTAAAAGATTTATAACTTCAAAATAGTGAAGAAGAGATTTGTAGCTCAGGTAGATTGTTTTTTTCTGGATGAAACTATTGAGAAGGATAATGAAAGCTTTGCAACCAAATCATCCTGCTCAGTGCATTTTTACAATATCAGGGGATATATAATATGTTTTAAAGACTAAATCCATTATAGATAAGATTTTATTTTGATAAATCACACAGTGTTATACAGTAATATTAACTGATGATGTTTCGAGCATAAACTATTGCTCATAATCATATCAAGTTGATATTAATATTACTGTATAACACTGTGTGATTTATCAAAATAAAATCTTATCTATAATGGAGTTATGCTCTACCACAGTGCCCAAGTTTTATGCTTATATTAAAGACAAAATGTTTTTGAAACTGGAATCCATCATGAAGTGACAGTTATTTTAACTATTTCCTTCTCAGTGTCTTTAAGCTTAAAAAGAGGAAGTACTGTCATTCATGTGCGCCGGCGGCGTAGCGGTTAGGACGCTCGCCGACCATGCACATGGTCCGGGGTTCAATCCCCGGCCGACGCACTCCTTTACCTCGCTAAGCCAGAAATAATGCTGATGAAGAGGAAAGGTTGGGTATAAGGCTAGCAACCTCATCCTGTAAAAAAACAGAAACTTCAGTCCACTAGCTTGGAGCCCTATGTTCCATCGGGGAATGTGAAGGAATGTCAGAATGCAGTAACACAAAAATTTGCCAATTCCTCTTTTTCATAATATATCAGGATCTTCATTGATGAATGACTTCTCTGACAAATGCCTTAATATATAGTACAACTAGCAAGTTGTCCCACAGAAATCAAAGTTTGGTAAAATCTCACAATTCCCTACTCATTCGCATATGATTGAAACAACAGTAAACAAATCCTAGGATGAAAATGATTATCGTCTCCCAGCATAAGTTTCAACTTCACTACCATGTCTTCATTAGCTTCAAGGTGAAAGAAACATTAGAGAAATAAATCCGGTTGTTCAAAAGTATTGTGGAAGACAATAAATTCAACTCTAAAATTCAGTTAACAAGAGATTATAGAAATAGATAAATCTGAACAGAACTTAACAAAAAGCTCACCAGTCCATTTAAGAAAATTCAACAAAGAAGATTATATTCCTGATTCTGGTGAAGTGGATCATTCAACAGACCGTGGACAACATTGGATCGGTAACATGATTCAAAAAGATCTTGAATTTGCAGACGATTTATGTCTAATGACACATACTCAAAAATTTACAGGCGAAAACCAACAAGTTGACGAAAGAAGCGGAGAAGACAGCACTTCAAGTGAACATAGAGAAGTCAGAGGTAATAAATATATCTAACCAACAACAAGCGCTAATCATCATCAACGAAAAAAATTTGAAGGAGGTTACTTATCTCACTTTTCTAGACAGTATCGTCTCAACTACATGTATTAGGCACAGATGAGGATGTCACAGGCATGGTTAGAAGGACAAAACAGGCGATCGTTAGTTTGAAATTAGAGTGGAAATCTGCTACACTCAAGATAAGGAACAAGAATAGAATTTCAACATCAAAGTAAAATCACTGCTTCTTTAAGGTTCAGAGACTTTTACCAACAGCTACCCCCTTCCCCCTATACTGAAGATCAGATGACCAGCCTGAAAGGATTAGCAATTAGGAAGCCTGAAAAGCAGTGAATCAACCAAGATCCTATCACCCATCAAACATGCAGAAAGAAATGCAGATTAACTGAACATCCTATTAAGACTGAAATCACGCGCCAGGGCAGCCCTCGAGTGCAACCCGAAAGGGAAACGAAGAGTTGTGCGTGGGTCAGAGAGTGACATGAAAGAGTCCATATGAAGAATTAAAAGATTATGGTTGGCCAGGGAGCAAGCTACAAAAGACTGGGGAGGACAGAGTGAAATGACGATGTACTGCTTAAGCCCTGTGTTCCACTTGGAAAGCGCGAGAATAATAATAATAACCACTACCAAATAAGGTAGGAACTATCGTAAACTTATGTGTTCCTTATCATTTGTTTTATAAGTATTATATTATTATTGTCCCCAAAGGTTCGAATGGAACATAGGACTTCAAGAGCACATCCCCACTTTGTCCTGTCCTCTCTTTTTAGTTGGTCTCATGAATGCCTATGGTCTCTTATTCCTCCTGGAACGATCTCCCCCAAGTGACCGGACCGATGTTCAGTTCCCTACTCCCCATCCTAGTTTGACTCAAAAACCTGTCTAGAGCGTGATGTTACTTAACGGTCACCTCAACGTGTATCCAGCCCGTCTTCATTTTCTTCGGAATATTTGTTGAGCAGTAGGTTTTTGGTTGATTCCTCCTCAGAGTTCCTTGTTGATAATTCTTTCTGGCTGTCCAACTGATCTTCAGTATGGAGCCAGCGATGGCAGCTGTTGGTAAAAGTCTGCAACCTGTTGGAAGTGCTTTACGGGACGCATCAGGTTTCTGACCTAATAATGGTATTGAAAATCCGAATCTTGTTGTTTATGCTGAGGGCAAAAGATTTCCAAAACGATTTCAGAGGGATAAAGGTCTGTCTTGACTGTAGTTGAAATGATGCTTCCTAGATCAGTAAAGGAAGTGACTTCTTTCATAATTATTCGGTGGATAGTGACTGATACTTGTCGTTGTTGTTGGTTGGTTTTCCTCATCACCTTCGTTTTCTTCATGTTCATTTGAAGCCCTGTCTTTGCTGCTCCTTCCAATAACTTGTTAGTCTGTAAGTTTTCGAGTTTATGTTACAATAGGCATAAATCATCCGAGAAATCCAGATTTACTAAAGTCTTTATAAGCATACTCATATATTATTTAGTTGGTTAACTAAACATTATCATGTTAACCCTCAGATATCCCTGAAGCGTCCATACAAGGAACCGAAATGCCAACAGGAAATGCAAAAAAGACTTAAACAAATACCTTATTGATATTATTTAAATACTTACGTGTTTCTAAGTCTTTTGACATATTCATGGTTTCAACATCAATTTCTGCTAATTTATACAGTAACATTTCACGCTGTTCTACATATTCTGCTGCTTGTTCTAACATTTTCACTGCTTTATTTATATTTTCCGTATAAATTAATTCACTAGAATTTTTTAAACAAAAGTGCACCAAACAGTATTGTCGTTCAGTTTCAGAAAGTTTAAGTTTCTGCCATACAGCATGAAACCTTGCCTGAAAGTTACTCTGTATATCATCAGTCTCTTCGTTATGCTGGGTGTTAAATAAGAAAAAAGTACTCAATGAATAAACAACAGGAATAAAGTGACAGTTTTTAATTCAGTTGTAAAAAGTTGTGAATAAACTGGCCAATAAGAAATCATATCAAACATTTTTGACCATCATCAGCTAGTTAATAGTTTTCTTTTTTGAAGTATTAGAGATGCTTTTTAGCTCAGGTGTGTGCGTTTGGTGTCGTTGTGTTTTGTGAGCTGAATAGTTTAACTGAGAAGCTTTCGTTATCCATCTAGACAACATCTTCAGCTTTATCTTCAATGTGAAGTTAGTTTTGTGAATTCTCTGTGTATGGCACTTACCACAGTCAGTTATTTTGGGAGAAAAGTTACGTTTATAAATTTTGAAACCATTTCAGGAAATTTGAACATCCTAGCAAATTACCTTCCACAGGCAGATCTTGCATTTAGACAGTCCATTTGCTAATATGTTGAACAAAAGCGTAAAAATTATTTTTTGGCCTACGTATGTTTCATTTGGGTGATATTAACATCTAATCAGGTTTCTAATGATATTAGATGGTTGGAGGCAGTCGGCAGAGAGCTTTGGATCTAGATTTTGTGCTAGTTGGCACTCGTCAGAAAGGTGTATCTGCAACCTAGAAGAAACTCATGTCCCATCTGAGATTCGAATCCGTGTCACCCAGTGCTGCAGTCACAGATCTTACCACTCAGCTATTCGAACTCGCGACTGACCTTCTGTAGGATAGTATTGGATACTAAGATTGGACAGTAACTAGTATCATGCATCTAGTCCTTTGTTTGGTGCAGACTGAATTATATCAGTCAAGTTTGCAGTGTGGCCACCATGCTAGGTGGCTCTTATATTAATTGGGTGCAGGTGAAATCTGCGAAGTAGGTGATTCAATATTATCGTTAGTATTTATGATTGATTATTAAAAAAAACTTGTTACATTATGGCCATTAGGAGACGTGCCACACAAAGTCTCATAGCTTATGCATGGACCAAAGCAGGTGGTTGTCTTAATGGACCATCTGCATTGAAGTCTTCGACTTGAACTCTGATCCACAAGGTATTGAAGTGGCATAAGAGACTGCTTAATGATAGTTTCCAGTGACCAAAAGAGGTTCACATGCCATTCAGTCCTTTCGTACCCTGAAGCTCATGTACACCACAGGTTTTGGAATCAGGGATTTCTAGCTTCCATACAGGTAGACCTGTATGTAAGCTCCAGACGTTGGCATTCGCCCGTTTACTTTTATGAGGAACAACCCACTGCGTGAAGGCAGAGAACAAAACGTACCTAGCAGAGCGAATGAACGTTTGAACACATGAAAGCATTTCGAGAAGAAGACCTAGGTCTATCCAAGCACAAAACTGATAAACATGTAGCTCTAGTTTCTATGCATAAAAAATGTTCATATAATACGTTGATAATAACAATTCGATCAATTACAACTTATCTGATTATATCTATCTATCTGCTTACTTTTTCTTTTCCACTAATATAGATATCACAGAATGGTAAATCAACTGTCACATTTTTTAAAGCTAATCTTAGTGATTCAATTTTCGCCTCACATTCCTTTAAAAGTTTGAGCTTATCTACAAGTGGAAAACAAATATATATGATATTAGGAGGCAAAATGTAAAATGACTAAATTTGCAAATAAATATAATCAATGTGGTCAAAAATCCTTTAGACGAAGAATAATTACAAGGGAGACATGAAGACTTAGTGGATCTGAGAGATTATAAGGAGTGAATGCATCTGCGAAACTGATGACGACTTTAAGTCATGTCACCGACAATCCGTAGCCATTGTGTAACAGCAGAAGGCAATATACGGAAGCAAACGTATATTTTCAGTTGATCAAACTTTATAACAGTTTATATTCTTTAAGCATTCACTGAGCGTGTGAATTTGGTTTACATTAAACGACATGAAATAGAATGTTGAAATAGATATATAGTATTATGTTGCTAATGCAGTAATGAACTGTGGGAATATGTGAAATAATATTCCGTTGGACATATTGTCTGTTTCACACCACCACAATTGGTTGTTATGTTCCTGTCGCCAATCTGTTATGATCACGTTGACAGCTGATGTGACCGAGTGGACTTATGCGTGGGTATTATAACACTGATGCAATGAACAACTCAAGTGATATGCTAAATAAGCCTATTTGTCCTTGGTACCTTCTGGTTTACTGAGCCCCGTAATGTCAACAGACAAAAACTGGCCCGTGACTGTTAGGCTACAATTTTATTGGGAAAAACACGTCATATTTATATATTTTTTACCACAATAAAATCGGTCCAGGGCAGTGGAAACAGACTGCTCCAATTGATAGACGATTCGGACTAAGACAGGCGAAAAATAAATATTGTGATTAGCTGGCGACTTAACCAAGACCAAGGTGGGAAAAAGATGATGAAAGTTTACAGTCATCCAGTCATACGATGAATCAAATGATGAATCATAATATGATTACTATTTTAGGCTGATTCCTATCACTGGTTTTTAGCTTCTTCAGCAACCCAGCCTAGGCAGTCTACACCTTCCTACGCGGTTGGCTAGAACCGACTGTCAAATAGTCCATGTAGTCATGCCATGTTCTGATTTGACCACCTCTAACTCTTTTTCGACCTAGACGTATATCAGCTGATATTTCTCGTCGTGGAAGACGATGGTTGGGTATTTGTGATAATAATTCTAGCCATCTCACAACCTTATTGATTGACTTTCCCACCTTAACCAAGATCATAATTCTAGTCTTATTATTAGTATTGGCCATACTATACCATCTAACACCAAAGTAAACCATTAATTTGGATCTAGGCGACTAACATCTTCATATATTCCACTTTCAACAGTCATATCTCACAGCTATAAGCAGTTAGATGAAACATCAACAACTGATTCAAATTTGATTGATGAATGTTACTTTCAGAGTGAAATAAGTACGATTATAGATTATTGCCTGATGGAGAACTTTAGAACCTTTTGTACAGAAGTGCATTTTACATACTAATAATGTGGTTTCTAGAGAGTAGGTAAAATGAGCAGTTAAACAATGATGGGTAATAACGAGTGGAGTCTTAAGACATCATAGTGTTGAATCACTCAGGTCAGTGAAGCAATTTTACCTCTGATCAGATGATTTTAGTTCCAAACTTTCATCTAGACATCTATATTTGCCTACATAATCCACTTTCACAGTGGATCATTTCCAGAACTGTACAGCCAGAGGATAAGATTAAAATTCGAATCTCCAGTGATGCGTATTTGAATTTTATAAAGGGTATTAATATTCATCAGAATTTGTTGACTAGTGACAAGAGCCTTGAAAACATCATTGAAAAGTTCAATGAATTGAACGTCAAAAGTAAACTAGTCCCTAAAGGTATATTTTAGGTCCTATGGAATGGATTTCTGGAAACATTTAAAACAATTAGAATTATTTGGGTTTTCATAGTATTCGTAAAATATCATTACTTGTAAGTGCATTCAAGCTGAAAACTTAGGGGTATATATAAAAAATACTAGGAAACGTGACATACGTGTCTTAGTTGATGTGATTCCAATCGCGTTTTCCCTCCTTCTATCCGACAAAATGACAGTGAAGGTGATGGACATAACATATAGTATGTTAGCTAAATACCTCAGCAGATGAAATTGCACAAAGAACGCAAGTTTTATATGTTGTCTAGTTGTTCTATAGTAACTGATCTTGACACTAAACAGTTATACTTCTTAATATCCTTCAATTTCTGTTTCTTCCTAACAGTATTCATAGGGTATAACATAAGGCTCTGAAATAAGCTACCTTCAAACTGACCGGATTTGTGGGAACTTCGAGATAGTCAGACATATCGTGAAGTAAACATTTCACAAGGAATTAAAGATAAAATTGGCTGATAGTATTCCACCAAAATTCTTGGTCTGTGCTGACATATTGGCTCCTAGTGCGCAACTTTTGACGACTTACCAGGATAAACATTATGTAACTTGGATTATGGTGACTAGCAGTGGAATCCAAAACACGCGTTTTATCCTATTTGTGGCTATTCAGTTAAGTGTACCTGCATTTTAATTGAGGGATGGGGCTCCTTTTGAAAATCTCACCCATCTTTGCATTTTAAAACGATAGGTCTCGGTCTCAGTGGGAACACCATTAATCATTGGTGGTGCTGCAACATTCACCTGACGAGTCCCAAATGAAAGGAAATTCGCACGGTGGATTTCTCTGCTAGTGGGAGATTATATTAATAATTAAAGCATAGCATCTGCTGAGAACTTCACAATAGGTAACAACTTTTCACAGATGTATAAACCTTTCAACTAACCATTTTTATCATTCATGATTGCATCCTTTCCTGTACTCCACAGTGCATCTTTATTGGATTTATGGGCATTCTCCAGAGACTCCGATTTTAACCTTTTGAAATGAACAAAAGGACAATGAGAGTTAACAATACAGACGAACTGTAGCTCAAAAGGGAAATAGAGATTATTTATTAGTTTCTGATCTCGGACTTTTCATCGACAGTCTTGACAAAATATTAATGAAGCTAACGCTGACGGTGGAAACTCTATCATGGAAAATCACAGCTTGAAGAACATCCAATAGTTAAAACTAAACAGATGTTGGATTTTGATTGGAGATTTGAATCATCGTCACTGTAGATTTCGTCAAGAACCAACATTAAATAGAGAACCATTGAAAACTGAGGGACACTGAAAATTTGTGCCCACCCATAACCCCACCAACGGTCGAACCCAACACTTAGTTACGGAGTCAACCCGTTCACCATTCAGACATTGATCTGTAATCCACACTGATCAGTGAATTTCTCAACTTTATAGGTTACCTATGCAGCTAAAATTTCGCAAACTAGGATGAAGCAACTGTCCATTGCTCCTTAGTTTTCAGTGAATCTCTAGCTGATTTTCGTTAGTGACAAAATCTATGCAGAATATATCAAGTAAAAAATAATGTTGATATGACAGTTTGTTAGAAGTCGAGCAGTGAATAGAATATAAGAGTAATTCAGCTACTAAATTAAATTATAATATTTTAACTCACTAATATCAACTCTGTCCATTTCAAAGAAAGAATGAATTTTTTATTAGAAGAAACCACTTTTAGAGGTTATTAGCGACAAACTCAGGCTTTTGAAGTGATATAAATGTAGCGTGATGAAGATTAATAGGAAGAGACGAGAAGTGAAATCAACATTTTAAGTCTTTGGCTTCAGAGGTACAAGTATTTATTCCTTAAATTTGGATTTAGTTTACGTGGTGGACATGATATAACCTTATCGGACCACTTTTTCAACGTTGGGTAAGTTGCCAACCAACTGGAGCGATTTATTCTCTTCTGACCTAGCCGAACTTTAATGTGGCTAAGTGCGTATAAATATGATGTGTTTTTGCCTAATAAAGTCCGTTACCAAGTCGCTTATATTCTCCTGTTACATATATATATATATATATATAATTTCCTTTACGTCCCCAGTGGAACATAAGGTTCCAAGCTAGAGGCTTGAAGTTTCGGTAGCAATGGTGTTCATTTCTACGGGATGGGGTTACTGGCCTCATGTCCAACCTTCCCTCTTTACCGGTCTTATCACCGGCCAAGTGAGGTAGAGGAGTGTGTCGACCACCTGCGTGGTCGGCGAGCATTCTACCGCTGTGCCACTGACGCACTATATATATATATATATATATATATATACAAACTGTGAATCTGATTAAAAGCATGACTGGTTCGAATAATTAACTAGTCAGAAGTCGGTTGATTTAAACTGATTCAGCCCTATGAGATGGGTAAAACCGGGTACACTGCTGATGAGCTCAGTGCCAAACAGGCAAATACAGACATCTGGCGTTTAGACCGCTTCTATCTGGCTAGTAAGTACTAACGACTGATAAAGGTTGAATCCAACTACCCATTTGAACCAGTCAGTAGTATGTAGTTTTATGAATTTATGCTTGATTTCTTGATTACCGCCATTTATGGTATCAAGTAGATCACATATATTCTGTGATCTGAAATATTTCGACTTTCGAAAGAAACTTTGTGAAACGCCACCTCGAAGTGAGTAAATTGCAAATTAATTCGCTAATTGCGAATTTGATTTAAAGAATGTTGCCGTCTCAAACAGTGAGTAAAAAAGGTAGATAAAGGAATAAAAAGAATCTCACTGAAAATATTATTCTGATTAGTATCAGTCTTGATGAAACTTCTTCAAAAATATATAACATAGTTTTGAAAAAAAACAGTTACAGTTGGAAAGTTTAAAAGCAGCAGTGATTGAAAAGCACCTAATTTAGGTCTCAGTGGATAACTTTTTCAAGAAACTATGACCACTGTTCCGTAACAACTGCTATGCTGTACTAATGGTTTGGGTAACATATTCAGGCGATTCATACTTTGAACCGGTCTCCATTGACCTTTTTCTTAACATGCATTCCAAACAATATTGTATTTTATCCTTAGAGTGTCTTGCGGATTTAACGTATAACTAGATAAATTTCTCAGATTTAGGTTGACTTCCTCACTGACTAAGTGACTTTACTTAAAACTGATAACAAAAGTTCCTGTTTATTAGTGATACCTTTAAGGGATTTGTTAGTCAAAAAGTGAACCAGATCTGTTCACCTTTTCAAATATTGTCTATATTTAATTTATTTTTTGTCTAATGACTAACTGATATATGGTCACTCAGCCACTAAGCAAGCTAAGCTATATAATCATATTACTTTGGATTCTCTTACTGATTTATACTAAAACTTGAAGATTTCCGGTTGTAACTTATGTTCCAAGCTATCCACAAGAAACTATTTTGACTGTTGTACTTCATTATTAAGCTTAGGAACAAAATGAAATTTGTATCCGAGAGGAAAAGTGAGAGTGATATCTTCCCTTCTATATATATTTAACTGGAAAAATTACTAATATCGGAATTGGTTAAGTAGGAAGTGAATCATATTCACATGGAATTAGAAAACCTATTGTGATGATTTAGATTAATTTCAAAGTAAATTTCGTCACAAAGCAACATCGGTTATTCTTATTCTTTTTTTATTGCTTTGGGTTCCGAGTGGAACACAGGGCGTCAACAACACATCCCCAGTTTCGTCTATTTTCTGCCGTTCTCTTCATCTCCGTGCACGATTGCCCATAATCCCTCATCTCTTCCAATTCTCACTATCTCCGCAATGTCATCCTCACACCGACGACCTACTCGTCTATCCCCATTTTAGGATTCAACTCGAGTGATGGCCTGCATTGCGCTCGATATCATTCGACGGCCTACTCAATGTATGTCCGATCCATCTCCATTTTTTCCTAAATATTTGTTGAGCGATCGGCTCTCGCCTGTTGGTTTGTTCATCGCCAGAGTTTATTGTTACTGATTCTTTCGAGTCATTTAACTTTCGGTATGGAGCCAGCGAAGATGGCAGCTGTTATTGAAAGTCTGCAACCTGTTGGAAATCCTTTTCTGGACACGCTGGCCAAGTTTCTGACCCGTTTAGAAGAACCAACTTGACATTGGTGTTGAAAAAATGCGAATCTTGTTCCTTATGCTGGCTGAGTGAGGAAGATTTCCAAACTGGTTTCAGGTTGATGAAGGCGTATCTTGCCTTTCCGATTCTGTATGACTTTGATATTTTCATCCGTTCTCACTGGCTGCGGTTGAAAGCGTGCTTCCTAGCCGGATAAGTGAAGGAAGTGACTTCTGTCAGATCTCTCCCGTTGATGGTGATTGGTGCTGGTTGTTGTTATTGTTGGTTGGTAATCTTCATCACCGCCGTCTTTTTTATGTCCACATACAGTCCTGTTTTTGCTGCCTGCCTCTTCAGCCATTTTGTTGGTTTTCGCCTGCAAGTCTGGGTTTGTGTGATATGAAGCATAAGTCATCCACGCACGAAATCTAAGCCTTCTAGAGTCTTCTGATCAGTTCAACATCTGTTGGTAATCATTAAAAATCAGGGAGCAGTGGAGAGCTATACCGTCCTAGTGTGAGTTCTGGGCTTCACCCCTAGAGGGGTCAGGGTTGTCCACTGCCGAAAAGTTCCATTTTTCAACGATGTCTAAATGATGTTGGTGCGTGACGAAATTTACACTGAAATGAATCCAAATCCCCACAAAAATATGTAATCTAAATATCAATCTCCAGCTCACCAATGGTTACTGGGTGGATGTCCTGAAGCTATACTGGCAAGTCGCGACCAGTGGGTTCCACCGCCTCAATGTTAATTGGATACTAACTGAAAGCATTTGTTGAGAGGGTAGCACTATATCATGAATCGATTGAAGTTAAGTCCACAGGTCGTTGAGTTTCAACCCAACTGGCTGAATGGTCAACAAGCTTGGCCTCATAACGTGAAGTTTTTGGATTCGACCCCTGGTGGGACCGTATGTGCTCACTGCTTAGTGATTCTGAGCTAAGACGAAAGGTCTGTTCAGTGCCTCTCGTTTCCAATGATCACTCTAACTGACTTTCACTCATGATGAAATCTACATAGAAATTGTGATGAGAATTTTTCAAATTCTGTCCCATTGAAAAAATTACCTCTCATATTATGGGTATATAACATACTTATTCAGTTTTTGTTCTTCACTTTTTAATTCCGACAAAATTTTTTCATATTTTTCATTAGAATTATCATCTTCGCTGTATGATACTTTTCTCATATCAACATTGCTATGCTTCGCCATTTCTTCTTCGAATAGTTCATCCAGCCGACTATTTGGCTAGAGTGAGTGAAAACAAAATTAGAAGAAGGCAAATTAAAACTGACTTGGTATGTACGACTGATTTAAATGAGTGAATGCACAGGACTGACAAAAACAATAGTGTTCGCTAACTAGATCAGCGTGGTTTCTATAACAAAGTTTGGTTTCACTTATTCAGGGTTCAGCGCGTCCGTGATACGCCTAGCTCAATTAGGCTAAGTAAACTAGAGTGTTTAAATAACTCAAATATGGGCTATCCTATTAAAGAGACTTGCAAATATTTGTTTCAGGTTAATTTCACATATTCTGTTGATTGGTTATATTGAATCCTAAGTACTTAGTTTCTGCTGACGTATTAACTCCTAGCAAGGATGCTTCGACGATGTTCTTTTAGTTGGTGGTGGTCCTCGTGGCCTACTGGATAATACTTTGACGTTTGAAACGACGGGTGCAAGGTTCGAGTCACAGTCAGAGCGCCATCACTCACTGAGTAGAATGCAGGTGTATCCAGATGACAAGTCCTGGCCAGGACAAAATGCTCATCCTGGACTCCACTGCTAGTCACTAAATACCTTACTTAACTTAAGGATTAGATGAGAGGAAGAAAGAAATAGCGTTTATGCTAATCATACAATGCTGAATATGCAAATGAGTTGTAAAAATATTATACCAAATATTAATATTGTTAATACCAGTCTATTACAGGTCTTCAATTGTTGCATTTCTTAATATTAAAGGCCACTCCAATAAATCAAAAGCGTTGAGTTTCGAAATTGCCTTTTTGAAGTTCATCAATATATTAAAACCTCTTCACACTAAAACACCCCAGATAAAATGGACAAATGCAACGACATTTTATTATAGTCCGGTCTAAGAGTGGGTTTAGGTACAGCTGAGCATTCTCGTCATTCATTTTCAAATTTGCCATAAGATGATGTTTATTGAGATAACTTTGAAGACAGAAGTGTGCGTTGAAAATGTGATACACAAGCAGAAGTAATCCAACATTTAATGCCGCCTTACTGAACGAAAATTAGTAGGTGCCACTAAGCTATTGTTTCCATATGTTTCGTGTTTGCGCAGTCAAACTGCAAAGCAATTTGTTAAGCTTTAGTGTGGGTTTGTTTCTGCAATTACTTTCGTTAACATATTGTTAATATTAGTAAAGATTATCGCGTTTTCAAACAGTTTTGTGAGTGGTTGGGAGCGTTTGACAGACGATGAAAGCCATAACTACGTACGCCAAGCTGTATTACCATAAATTCAAAGTCCACACTGTTTCGATACATGCAGTACTACGTCAGTTTTTGATCAGATTATGTCTCCAAGCTTGATATATTCTCACACGTCGCCACCATAATGTACATATGTCAATTCACCTGCTCCTCTGGAGCTGGGTAATAGGTCGTTTTATGTGTGTCCTTTCAAAATGTATTAGATAACACTAACCATAATGACGACAAAGAGATGGTACTGACTCAATCAGAAAAGCTATAACTGAACACCTTGTCAACACCCATCACAGAATCTCAAAATATTCACCATTCAAAGCCATTAAGAATGTGAACAGAAATCTACCAAAGCCGGAGTGTTTCTGACTTCTTTGTACTGTGGTAGCCCTGGACATATGCATCGACAATCAAAAGAAACAAGCTCAGTCTCCACATCTACTTTGGATCTAGTCCTGTTCAGTCTTTGGTTGTTGTTGGTGGTGGTGGCGTTTTTTTTACTGGTCTCCATTCTCTCCACACTTTTCCCCTTTAGTTATAAAAACTATTGTTTAAATTTGTTTCCATACCCATCCCACTGACACCTGTTTTCGTTAAAAACTAGCTTGCATATTACGCAACTATTTTTCTAATCCTATACTGTTTTGTTTCTTTGCCCCTTGGGATACCCTGTGGAATTAAATAATAATTTTAACTATGCGAGCTTGTGTATATGCAGAAAATGGGATTCTACAGCTTTTTAAGGATGGAATCGCCAAAAAATGCCTTTACTGAATTCCTTATCTTTTCTCTCTGATACTCAGAATTCTAGTATATTTGACGATTGCACTTCCTACAGGACTGCTTGCCAGTGCTGAAGATACTGTGAAATTAATTTTGAGGTCTACAAGTATTTTAATACTAGAGAGATTGTATTTCAGTAAGTGATATCATCTTTAAGCGATGACTTTGGTATGCGCTAAACATGTCATTACGTCGGCTTCCATATAATTTATTGACACCAGTATTTGCTAGAAGAAGAAGAAGAGAAGTGGTCAGCTCATAAGGTAGCACTTTAGGTTGAAAACTGTTTGTGTGGGGGTTAGTATTCGTTGGTACTCTTAGGCGGGGACTGATAAACCATGAACACTAGTAGTTTCTGAATTGAACAGATATAACTGAGTATCAAAATAAGTAGTTATCACCGTAGTGTTTTTTCGCACAAAGACCATGAAGATATTTTAGAAGGTTCTTGGAACAGCAAAGCATCAAACGATTGTTAATAAGTAGTTTGAATCAAATTCACAATTTTCACATTAGTTCAGTTGGTTTGAATTGATTCAGCTGTTTAAGTTGAGTCAAACCGGCTGATATGAATTTACCCATTAACGAACAATACAACAGTCCATCTGGTGTGTAGGTCACTTCGATCTGGCTAGTGGGCACTACTGGTTGATGTCAGGGGTATACAACTACTCATCTGAAATAATCAGTAGTAGATAGTGTCATGCATATATGATAAGTAGTTTAAAACATTTAGTCCCTTCCATAAATTTGGACAGTGTTATTAGAAGGCGGAGATTATCTGAAAAATGTGATGTATCCACGCAATACACTTGGAACATATTAATATATGTGTAAAACTTGGGCACTGTAGTAGTAAATAATTCCATATTAGTTTGTTTATTTGATATATCACACAGTGAAACAGTATTATTTACTGGATGACGTTTCGAACAAAATTTATTGTTCATAATCATATCAATCAATCCAGTAAATAATACTGTTTCACTGTGTGATATATCAAATAAACAAACTAATATGGAAACACTTGGAACAATCTGATCACATATTTACTTGTCAAGTCAATTTACATAAAAAATAAAGGCCAATTAAAATACACAGTGACAAAAAGGATTTAAGAATGATAAGAATAATTAACACTGCGTCTGGTTATCTAATCAGATAAGGATTACTAATGTATGTTAAGAGTAATAACAAGTCGTTTTTATACACACAGGGAGGGGGCGGTTTAAGTTTAAGAGTAGCGCAAATACATCACATTTTTCAGGTAAACTTCATCTTCTAATAACACTATGCAGATAAGTAGTTTTCTTAGGTAACTGTGTAGTTTTAACTCGAGTAAACTGCTTCAGACAGCCTCAATCAGTTGTCCCCTGGGGTCTGAGGTCATACAACACTAATGCTCTTTATATTTCAGGCACTTTTAGAAGTGATCAGCTTCCAACACTATCCGCAGTCAGGAAGTAACATACTCCCAAAGACTTCTCTAAAAAGAAAAGCTTCTCTGTTCATCACCCACCCCCTATATGAACTAAAGACGGACTAATGAGCAGAATATATATGTATCATTAACTTTTAACTTCATAATAATTGAAATTATGTAAACCATCTTAATACTTACTAGTTGTTTTTGTCTTCGAAATTTCTTTTCATCTTCTTCACTGTGCAGTTTTAAATGTCTATTGGAATAAGCAATAAGAAGGAAATCTTCCATAGTCAAAAGAGAAAGAAATTCAGAAAAGCAAAACAAATTAAGCGACATAATAAATGATTGTCATTGTTTACGATTTTTATAGAAGCAATATGTGTTTCAAGCGTGTTTTTCTTTGTGCATCATAGCCTTGCCTTTTCAAACAGTTGGATTGAACTTTGAACAAGGTTTTCCGTCTACTAACTATTTAATGTCACTTATTTGTCATAGGATGTGTACAGCTTAGCAGATAAATTCATTTTATGTTTACAGTGCGCCACGATTATTTGCATCTCCTCCGTTCTGTTTTAGATGAGTAGTGAAGTGTTTGAGATTTTTGACCATTACGCTTTTTCAGGAAGTTAAGTCATCCCCGACGAACTGATTACTGAAAAATTTTCAGCACGGAAACAAAAGAATCATTTGTCATCTGCCAATTTAGATCATCTCTGGCGTATATGTGGTATCCGCCTATCAATCAAAAGACGTGCGTACTGTTTAGCAGTTTTTTTGGCTATGAGCCATAGCCATTAAAAGCGGGAGATATGAAAAGCTTAGCTGTCTTTGATCATAGGTGCTTGCGTTCTGTCTCTCATGTTACGTGTTATAATATGGTGAGCAATATAAAGGATAAGCGTAGAGCGCTAAGTAAGAGAAGCAGATCCGTTGACGAGGTTGTGTAGCTACATCGATTGAGATGGCTAAGACACATGTTGCGCATTCCGAGACACCGCCTTCTTTAACGGGTAATGTTAGCTGACATTTGATTAGGTTGAAAAAGAGTGAGAGCTGGTCAAAAAAACCTGACATGGATGCATTAAGTTTCTGACAGTTGGTCAGAGCTCTGTGGAAAGATGTACAGTGCCTAGTAGGAGTCATCGTGATTTTAAGAACCAACGGCTCCAGACTGTTAGTGATAAACCTCAAAACATGTCAGTAGTGCATATGCATTCACTCCTTGTAATCTCCTAGATCCATTAAGTTTTCACTTTTCTCGATGTTACTGTCCCTTTTCTTGCCAATTTCTGCTCATTATAATTCTTTCGGACCTCTTTGTACTGCCTTTATTTCCCACATGCAGCGTGGTGATTTAAAATTCTGCACTTCTATGCAAATTTCTATGTTGAAACCTTGAGCAGTCAGTTTTGCTTAAAAACTCCTCATACACCGAGTGGTGATAAAGATTGTTGTATAAACATAATGTTATATAAGGATTCACTGCATCTCAGCAATACGCACAAAACTAGTACCTCTCATTTCATAAATCTAGTAAAAAAAACGAAGCTCAAGCAGTGAAACCTACTATTGCTATTCAGAGAATGAAGAAAGTGTGGACTTAGTATTAACCATCGTTAATGATATCGTAAAACTTAAGAGATAATTGCATAGCTCTTCTAGCATTCATTCTAGCATCACTGTTTGCTTTTGACATCTATTGTAAGTGACACCTCAGCAGAATACTTAATCTTTTAATCCGAATCTCCAGCGGTACCTAAATAAGAATCTGGTAATCCAATTTAGAACCACGGTTCAACTTTATAATATTTTCAACCCCTTCTTTATTTTTCGTTTTTTTTCTTTTTTTCTTACCCACACCTTTGCGTCATCTCCCTATCCTTTATTTGTGACTTTGACATGTACATAATCTGACCTGTACTGTAATAATTCATGCCTTCTTGCCTGCTATATAACTGTGTATGACAAGTACCCGGGTGTGTGATCAGAATGTCCGAAATGTGTTGCGCAAATACATTACACGTTTCAGATAAACTACGTCTTCTTATTGTGTTGTCGAAATCTGTTATAGTATTCTAGCAGTATTTAGCCTATGTAGATAAAAATACTTCGCAATTCAATTCATGCAGTATTTTAATGTTTATTATATCAAAGTGGTCACCACACTCTGTGTGGTATTATTTTTTATATATATATTGACTTCAGTTAAGCCGTTTCTGTCACTCAGTACAAAGATGATTTACTAATACTTTTACTTGTTACTTCACCAAATGGATAACTAAGAACTTTTAATTAGTGGATAGATGTCTTCGTAATCAACTTTTTTTTATTACAAAAACTTATGAAAATCTCTCTGGAGTCTATTTATAGGTGAGGAGTTGATTGATATTGATAAGGATTTTGAGTTTGTGGTGTTCTGATCATTTTTTAGGTGGATTTAATCAAGAATTCATAACAATAATATCAGCGAACACTAACTCTGTAGTGGAACATTTAAACACAAGTCAGAAGCTAAAAACTATTCCTTTCTAACCAAGTAATTAGTCAGTAATGTGATTCAAGTAAGACTTAATGTTTCTGAACTTAATTGGTGGATGGTAACTAGCAGTGGAATCCAGGATGCGCATTTCATCCTATTTGGGGCTCATCATCTGGATGTACCTGCATTCCGCAGTGAGTGATGATGTCCCCACCGAGGCTCGAATCCAGTGCCCAGACATCGTCGAAGCATCTGCACAAGAAGGCGATATGTCAACCTGAGACCGAGCACTTCGGTCCAATCAATCGACGGGAAAATCTACAATTGAGTTTCTGAACTTAGTTTCTCATATTTCATGAACAAGAACTTCAGAAAATCACTAAATTTGAACAAAACGATTGTCTGATACTCCCTTAGACTGAATGATTTTGTGGTTGATTTCGAATCCTTATTAAATGGAAAATTTGAAAAGATAGAACTGTTAAAGTCGAAGACAAGAAGTGAAGCAATAAGGAACGATAAAATAAGGATAAGTTGGGTGCTTATGATTAAAAAGTAACTATGATCTATGCATACCTGTGGCTTAGACTTAATACATATAGCATTTTTATTTGTGGCATGCGCTAATCAGAACAAATATTACTGATTCTAACTATGAAATCGTGATATTATTTGCAAAAACAGTAAATTTCAGTGATTTATAGAAAGGGTATTGGTCTATCCTCCTGAAAACTTAATCATTTGATGACTTAACGGAAATAGCCTGTCAAGACCATATCGTATTAGTCACCATAACATACTCTGTAATGACAGTAGATATCAGAGCGAAACCATTTCTGCATATTTACTTTCTAAATAGTGTGTGCTAGGGGTCCATTATAAATAAACTTAATAACGTCTGACTGATTAGAAAAACGGTCAAAAACCCTTGAATGTCAATAATTATAAAAAGTTGCGGGTTAATACATTTTGCAACTCATCGAAGAATCCAGTTTTTTGTGATATTTCGTTAGGGTTGGTGAAACCAAGAGATGACATCAAAAAATGAATTCTTTGACTTTTGGTTTAGGCCACTTAGGGAGTAGTAAACCTACCGGTTAGGGTCTTCGAGGTGGTATGACTAAGAATCGTTACCAATGGCGTACGTATATTCGTTATTTATGAGCTCTATGATTCATTACACCCTCATTATTCTCTATGATATTATTTGTTTTATCGCACATTTATGTTTATTATGGAATCTTTGGATTTGTTTTTGCTACCATTATGTATGCTTTTATGAATTCTAGCGATTTTAACTGTTGCAGTTTAGTGAGAAATACGATGCTAAAAATTCACTTCATTCCTACTCAGACATTTCTTTCTCAGTTCACAAATGTTAATTACATAACTAATAGATGTGACTGACTGACCTAAGCATTTGACTTGCAGTCAATGGGTCCGCGGTCGTAATCCTACCCCACCTATTTCAGCTTAGGAATTGGGTAGTGCCTTCAGTGCCGACAAAATAAGTCTGACTCATAGCCTGGTACGTGAAAAATCTGTCCACGACAACTTACGTCTAATTGCACAACTACAAGGTACTTAAATGAAAATTATATCCTAAGGTCTATGAAACTACCATAATACTAAGGAAAAGAAACTCTGGTGAATAAAAGGTGTTCACAATGTAAGAATAACTTGAACAGGATATAGAAATATGATATTAAATCAATGCAACATTTTCTAAAAGATTAAGGAAAGGAATACTATGCAGACAACAAATCACATGAAATTTGAATGTTGGATTTTTACACTTAAACTTTAGTAAATAAACAAGAAACCTCACATACAAGCCAGTTAAAAAATTAATATCAACCTGAAAAACAGGGATCACCAAACACAGGTTTTAGAAGTGCTCACTACATAATTCCACTGGTGAAGGAGCACAGAAGTGTCACAAAAGAAGGAGACGTGATATGAATCAGTGTTTTCCAAGTGATTTATGAAGCAGATATTCGACCCCAGCGTAGATTCGCAGCCACCTCATTTAACTTCTACTGTTGCATGTCAACGAGTCAGAACACAGTTTCTTATATTTTAAACTAGTGATTTATTGATTGAGTGAAAAAATATTAAAAGTCAATCTGAACGAAGAATATTGTTTTCGATAATTTCTCTTCAGGTTCTTACAATTATAAAAAATAATATTTGTTATCGTTGTAATAATGGCCAGTTATGAGGCCGATACATTTTTACGTAGAATAACAAAAATAATTAGTATTTGTGTGACAAACGTGCTAGGCTGAATTCAGTTACAAAATATTGTGAAATGGGAGACAGTGGCGGTGGTTAGTCATGACAGATTCATAGAATGTGGGGTAGGAAAACTTGACAAGTCAGTTCAAGGTTATAAAAAGTGTCAGGTGAGTGAGTGACTAGTATAAGTAGTATGTATTAAAGATGACACAATAAGACTGTGACGAGAAGTTTATCATGAAGTAACCAATATGTGAAATGAAACAGGTGGAGGCATATGTCACTAATAATAAGTCCGGGTAGTATAAATGGAAAATTCAATAGTATTAAGAGAATGTCTGAATGAAGGGTATAAATTATGACGAATAATAATAATTGTAATTATAAGCAAAGAAACAAACCAAGAGGGTTAGGGAGAAGAAGCACTCTTGGTGAGAAGAAGAATCATTAATCCAAGCTTGGCCACGGTAGGAACAGAGTCTAGACGTGTTCTTTTTGGATACAAAGTTCTGAATTTGTCGATCTTATTGCAACAATAGCTATGCGTAGGAGGCGTAAGCGAACTGTACGTGATAACGACTTCGGTATATAACCCTGAAGCCTGTGTTGGCGTCGATTTGATGTCCAGTATCGACCAAGTGTGACAGGATCGAGCTTTTTATGCACTTAATTTCCCCTTGCTGAATCATGCTGGTAAATGTTATCGAAACCATAGGCGAACCTGCTTAATCGTAAACTACATAACTTGAACCAAAGGAACAGCTGAAATGGTATATACATGAAGAAGAGCTAAGGTTAGGTAAGACATCTTTGAGTTGCTGAGTGAACACTGGATGCCTACTGAAGGATAGGAACACATATGCAAGCTAGAAAGTTTCCTTTATCGCCCTATTTAAACACTTCGATAGAATCTCCGCAGGAGCATCTCCCTTGAATTGTAAACGTAAAAATAAAGGCTTTTCTCCACCGTTGCCAGTTCATGTTTACGACTACTGTAATCTATGTTGGCTTTAATAAACTTCTGTGTATATCCATTCTCGCTTAGAATATCCCGAATGACCTGGAGTTCTTTCTCTACGAAATCTTCTGAGCAAATCGAAGTCGCTATAAATACTAAGTACCTGATCAGATTACGTTTGTATTTCACAGGTACGAAGTTAAGGAACCATGTATACTGAGCTTTGGTCTCTAGCTTTCTAAATATGGTTCTTCTGACGGAACCATCCTTTCTTCTCGTTAGTAGGAAGTCGAGGAAGTTCAGAGAGTCGTTGCATTCGCCTTCGTATGTGAAATGGACCGTCGGGTGAGAATTATTGAAGTGGCTCAAAATCAAATCACTACGTAACTTTCATTGTACACCATAAAAGTGTCATCTGTGTAACGACGTTGCATTTCGACTTCTGCTATTTCATCTTTCAACGGACTGTTTTCTATCTTTGCTAGAAATATATTCACAAAAACAGGTCTTAGTGTGGATTCTATGACTACTTCATCAACCTATCTGTACATTCCATTATTCAACAAGAATTGAACATTTATTACACATTTAAGCAGTAGCTGTTTCAGATTACTAATAGGGATATCAGTCCACAATTTCCTTTCCATGATCTATTCGCAGATGTAGTGAATGGTTTCCACCAGAGGCACATTAGTAAATGAAGATGAAACACCAAATGATGCCACTTATTTTCTAGTTGCTTTCAGGTTTTTAATCCTATCAATAAATTCGACTGACTTTTAATTCATTATATGGGAATATTTCACACTATTAAATCTTATAAAATAAATATGTAGTAAGGTGTTATTTCTAGTCATGTTGCCTTTTCTTCATGGAGCAATAAAGCTTTGCCAGTGACCGGTTGTAACTTATCAGTCATTGAAGTAACAGGCGAGATAACCCAAATCCAATATTATCGCAGACACAACAAGGACCATAAATATTACAGAAGCAACCATGCTGCCAACCTACTGTCTAATAAGTATACAGAGGCTTAGTGTTGCAAAGCCAAAGTTTGTTCCTTATGCTGGGTGCAGTAGATTTTCAGACTGATTTCAGAGTACTAAAGGTCTGTCTGTCTGATATTCCTAATTGTGGTGGACTGGATTATGCGTCAGACAGTGGAAAACGAGAAGACAGGGATATCCTTGACCGACGTGAAGAACCTAGAAGACCTGGATTTCGCAGATGATTTATGTTTGATGTCACACAAAATCGAAGACTTACAAGCGAAAACCGACAAACTGGTCGAAGAAGCAGCCAGAGAAGACAGGACTGCAGGTGAACATAGACAAGACGGAGGTTATGAAAATAACCAACGAGCAACAACAACAACAGCAGCAACATACAGCGCCAATCACCATCAACTCGAGGGATTTGAAAGAGGTTACTTCTTTCTCTTATCTAGGGAGCATTGTCTCAACCACAGGAGACAGGAACGGACGAGGATGTCAAATCGAGAATTGGGAAGGCAAGAAACACATTCATCAACCTGAAACCAATCTTGAAGTCTTCGTCACTCAGCATCAACAACAAAATTCGGATTTTCAATACAAATGTCAAGTCAGTTTTGTTATACGGATCAGAAACCTGGCGGGTCACAAAGAATATTTCCAACAGCCTGTTGCAGACCTTTATCAACAGCTGTCTTCGTTCTATACTGAAGATCAGATGGCCGGAAAGAATCATAAACAAGAAACTATGGGAACAAACAAAACAAGAACCAATCGCCCAACAAATATGCAGGAGAAAGTGGAGATGGATTGGACACTGGCTGAGGAGGCCGCTGGGTGACATCGCGCGTCAGGCCAGTGCTCGAGTGAAACCCGAAAGGGAAGCGGCGAGTGTGACGTCCAAGGGTGACATGGAGGAGATCGTGTGATGAGGAACTGAAAAAGTATGGATTAACATGGATGCAAGTGAAAAGTACAGCAGAAGACAGAAGCAAGTGGAGGCGTGCAGTTGAAGCCCTATGTTCCACTAGGAACCCAAGGGAACAATAATAATAATAATAAAGGTCTGTCTTGCTTTTCTCATCCTGCTTCTGATATCCTCATCTGTGTCACTTGTAGTTCAGACGATACTGCGTAGATAAGTGAAAGAGGCAACTTCCTTCAAATTCTTCCAGTTGATGGTGATTGATAATTAGTTGATACCAGTAAACACTTTATGCTGTTTTGAGTTAATTTTATTTTGTTTGGTAGAGTTTCCGACACCAGTACAAACATCACTTTTAGTGTTAAATAGGAAGATATAAAACAGTACTGGCAAACTGACAAAGTATCACAATAGGCCTGTCAGGTTAAGTAGTATTGCCAGTTGGTGCCGCTTTTTAGTTCCATTTCTTTAAATCCATTTTTTTCGTTATTTTACATCGATAAAAAGAAAAACGCAATAGTTATAATGATTCCTGGTGAGTTCATTGGTGAAACAGTACTGCCAAGAACTCTTTGATGGCTTTCAGTGGTTCTCTAAATGGAGTCAATTCATTATCTGACTTACGATCAGTCAAATCTCTGTAAACCAAACATTTGAAAATCACCACCCATTAATTGGAGAATAATAATAATAACAAATTATCACTTACGGTAAAACCCATTTCGACTTATCCATTAAATAAGATTGAGAAAGACTAGCTTGTAATGGTTTACAGCGACTGTTTGTATGACGTGATAATTGACGAGTTAATTCATACAGAGGTTTCAGGTCTATTTTATCAGGAGATGGTATTTCATTGAATTTGGAGTCTTCGGTATTCTTTTTTGTTTATATATCATTATTATTGTTATTAGATGGTGAATGAGATGTTAGAAAAAGAAAATAATTAGTAAGAATTATGCAGTATTTGCCTTTTAGACATTAATTATGAAAAATCACAGGAATAAATTCTATTTGAATAATTGAACAGCTTAGTATTTAGGTGTCTAGCTTCAGTACTAATTGACGCAAGTTCGTATCTTAGAGGAGTATAAGTCTCCTTGAAAGGGTACTTACATCCGGTTAATAATAGCTGAAGAGTAAAAAAAACCTAAATCCAAGGAGTACAGGCTGTTAAATATCAGTTTCTGAAATCGTGTCACAGGACCCTAGAGTGCACATTCGTGTACTGTCACTTAGCTTACAGATCGTAATGTCCATCTGAGAGACATTTAGGTCTAGCTAGATACAATGATCACTTTCGCTAGTTTAGTTCACGGGTGGTGATAAACTTAGAAGCGGCTAGATGAATACATTTCATTGATAAGTTGAAATGAAACATTTGGGCACTCATATAGTATATATCGTAAACAGAAAATGACCACATCAAGAATTATCACATTCAGCATATTCCAAATTTGATAAATTACTCATTCTTAGTATCTAACGAGAAAATCGGTATATTTTACAAGTAAATTAATAAACATAAATTCAACGCTGGAATGTTCACCAGTCCACCTGAAGATCCAGGTTTGAATCCTGACTGACGCACTCGTATTTCCGACTAGTCAGTAGTAAGCCTCACAAACAAGGGAGGTGAGGCTAACAAACCCACTCAGCAGAGACAACACCACTGCTACTGAAACTCTAAGAGTCTGAAGCCTAATATTCCACTCACAGCACAAGGAATGAAAAGTTAATCAAGTAGAAAGTCACGACAAAACCATCATTCTGAAAGCTTTAAATAAATCAGTTCTAGCACTCACAAGTTAAAGTTAGTCAAATGAAATAATCTAATAGACTTAGATGCAATTGAAAAACAAACAGTCATCACTGTAATTTCATTAAGTGACTGATGTGCAAATGGATTAACATGGAGTAGTGGGTGCGTAATACTAAAAAAACATAAGCTAATTAGATCAAACTGTTTAATTTGCAAATGACTAATTTGAGTCTGTGTATTAGCACTTCATCCAGTTAGCTAGCCTGAATTCAAGTGGTATAAAGATAAAACTTAGCCACTGTGGTAGAGTAGAATTCCATTATGGATAAAATTTTATTTTGATAAAGTCACACAGTGTTAAACAGTATTATTTACTGATGGCGTTTTGAGCACAATTTTTTGCTCATAATCACATCAAGATCCTCGCATAACCTTTTTGCTTCGTTTATATACATGAGTAGAATTTTATCAACAATGGAAGAATTCAAGTGGATTGGAGTGATTCAGCCATATGATCTGAGCTGATCTGGGCACACTACTGATGAACTCATTCCAAAACGAACGAAACAAGCATCCGGTGTTTAGGTCAGTTCAGTCTACCCAGCGAACACTAGTGTTTCATGTTAATGATATCCAACCATTTATATCACTCAGTATCATGTGTTATCTTGGGTAATTTATTAGGTCATTCCGATTTGTGATGAAATATAATTCTGAAAAAAGACTATTTCATTTTACGTATGCAGTAAGTAGGGGGAGTGATGTGCATTTGACTCAAGTAAACAACATTATTGTCAATAAGCATTTCAATTCTCGCCAGTAGTTCGCTGAAGTTATCTTTTCTCAAATCGAACATCCTCTTCGTTCACAACTTTCTTCAGGTATCCATTCGAGTACAACCAGAAGAAATTTCATGAGAAATTATGCTCGTACGGCTACTATATACAAAGTTCCAACCATACCATATTTAGCACAGGTTTTGTGTGAAGAGACAAATGTCAGAAAGGAACTTATAGACTTTTCAAATCAGTACGTGAACTGCACAGTATAACAGGGATCATTAATACATGTATTATTTATTACAATATTCATTTATTATATATGAGGTTTCACTAATTTCCAGTTTTGTGGTCTTATTATTATTTCTACAATTTTATGTATTAATATATTTACAGAAGGCGGTAAATTGTTGTGGTGTGTGTGAAATCGCTTGCGATTCGAATGTGTATAATTATTATTGTTCAGAATAAAGTGATTAAATTAAAAAAATTAAGAACCAGGATGTCCTAGATAGCTGTTTCCACCTTGTCCGATACTCTTCAGAAGTACACAATCAATGCCCTAGTAGCTGAATCGTCAACCAGCTTGCGTTGTAACCTGAATGTCTTGGGTTCGATGGCCCGTGAGTCCATGGTTGTGTACTACTGAAGAGCCCCAAGTGAGGACTATCTTCATTGCTTCTTGGAATGAAGCCAATTTGTGGTCAAACTTGATAATAAAGTAAATAAGTTTGCGGAACTATTTTGAATAAACTGTTATCACTAGAGGAAAGTTTAGAATCCGATGGATCTGAATTGATTTAGCTCTTCGACGTGATTCCACCCGACGTCACTACCGATGAGGTCAGCTGCAAGACTCACGAAAAAGTTGTTTAGTGTTTAGACTGTACTAATTTGACTAACAAGCAATACTGATTGACATAAGTAATTTCCAGCTACTCATACATACATAGTATTATGAACATTAAGTTTGTTCAGTTTATACAGAATTTATACGTTCTAATTTTTTTACGATTCTCGAATTTCGATAAAGAAAGGAAGACGAAATTTGCAGTATAAAATGATATCATTCTACTTCACAGGCTCTCATCAGCTGCAGACTACCTGAAATTACAGTGGTTATATAAATGATAATAGCATACTCTACCACCACTCAAACATTAAAGTATGTTATTATCATTTATATAACCATTGTAATTTCAGGTAGTTTGCAGCTGATGATAACCTGTGAAATAGAATGATATCACTTTATACTGCAAATTTCGTCTTCCTTTCTTTATCGAAATTTATCAAGGGAACCAATTGTATGAAGATTTTCGAATTATTCTAAATCTATAGCATCACTGACCAACTTAACGTTATGTTTGAGTGTATGAAGAAGTTTTCATATCAGCCATGGGTTCTTGCTAATAACATACAGGTGATCCGAACACCTGCAGTGCTTTCTCTTCGTTCCAAGTCAAGGTTCTGCCAACAGTGAACATGAAGAACTCTTAAGTAACCAGCTTATATTTGGATATGTTTGAACTGCTTAAAATGATAACTTTAATTGACAAGCATTTGTGCGAGATTTTATGTAAATCAACTGCTCTGTGTATTTTTTATATTTGGATAGTGCTTTGATGCTTGAAGTGATGAGCACTTGTGATTGGACACTAACTAGTGTCATTTGTCTAGTCCTTTGTTTACTGCTGACTTTATTCTATCAGTCAAGTTTGCAATGCGGCCACCATGACAGAGGTCTCAACATCAGTAAACATCAAAGAAATGACTAGACTCACAATAGTAGTTAATAACTAGTGTCCAGTCAAAGAATATTTGAAATTACTGAGCCAATGTTTCGGGAAGGATCCTTGAACTGATGACTCTACTTAATTACAGTAATGGATATAATAATTATTATTATAAGGATTACACAAATACCTCACTTTAACCAATAACGATCATTTTTCGGCATCTCAGTTCATCATGTGCATCAGTAACGTGTTTGATAATGTATTCGCTTTATTATATGAACAAAATTCACAGTCGATAAAGTCGGGAATCAGTACACTTGGCTTCAGGACTGTTAACCCGTTGTTATCTTTTGTATATTTGGCTTTTCTTTATGGTTTTCTTATCTTCGTTCAGAGGCGGATCCAGTCATTTGTCTGTGACCCAACATTTTTTCTCGTGATTAATTCTAGTGTTTACTTTTGAGGTTTTCCAGCTTTCATAAACTCCATTTCCATGGTGTTTATGTGTGATTAGAAGATTCGTGCAGAGTTCATAATAAAAATAACAATAATAATTATACACATTCGAATCGCAAGCGCTTTCATACACACCACAACAATTTAGCTCCTTCTGTAAATGTATTAATACATAAAATTGTAAAAATAATAGTAAGACCACAAAAACTGAAAGTCAGTGGAACCTGATAAACAATAAATGAATATTGAAATAAATAATACATGTATTAATGATCCCTGTTATACTGTGCAGTTCACGTACTGATTTGAAAAGTCTATAAGTTCCTTTCTGACATTTGTGTTTTCACACAAAACCTGTGCTAAATATGGTATGGTTGGAACTTTGTATATAGTAGCCGTACGAGCATAATTTCTCATGAAATTTCTTCTGGTTGTACTCGAATGGATACCTGAAGAAAGTTGTGAACGAAGAGGATGTTCGATTTGAGAAAAGATAACTTCAGGGAACTACTGGCGAGAATTGAAATGCTTATTGACAATAATGTTGTTTACTTGAGTCAAAGGTACAGCACTGACCGCATTTGCAAACTTCAATCTTCTATGTAATATGACAGTCGTTCCTGAGAAGCTCTGGTGAGAATAAGGGAGATGAATAAAGAAGAAGGGGCAGGATACATGAAGTTATATCTTGTGAGTGAAGAGGCTGAGTTATTGGAGAAAGTTTCAACTTCTCTATGTAATAATTGCAGAGAAAATCAACAGGATATAAGGTAACCAACAGAAATTCGAAATGACAAGGGATATTCGATTTGCTCCCAAACCTAATGCCATCAATATTTTTTGGTAATCGTGGAAATGAATCAGTTCACTCAAGTCTTTTTGTACCTGAAACTAAAATCAACAGCAAGACATTTAGATGGATTTAATTCAAGGCAACTTAAGCGAGACCATTTGTTTACTCCAAATAAGAATTTATTCATATAAGAACGATCCAATGCACTGGATTACTGAATTTTCAAATGAATACATTTCGTGATCAAACTTTAAATCGAACAAATTCCTGAAAATCAACGCTTGAAAACTATTTTTTTCCTTAACTTACACCCATAAATTTCATTTCACTATAAGGTTTTGAAAGTGTACTGACAAGTTTTTGAAAGATTTTTTCATTTTCGTTAGATGTCGGTAAATTTCTGTCCAACTGAGCTGCAGTTTCTTCATCAATCTGAAAAAGATTAACACAAATGTTATTGTTATTATTACTAATATATAGTCAAACAGTAAGTGTTTGATAAAAGATAAAAGCCCCCTTGTGGTATACTCTATTATCAAGTAACATATAGCTGCAGAAATTAATGCACTAAATCATACTAGAGCATTGTTCTGAGTCAGTCTGGAGCTGAATTAGCCATTTAGAACTTTATAAGGCATCTATGTCATGCTCATAATTTTGTCATGCAAACAAGTTACTTGCTACTTTAGCTTGTGTATCGAAATCTAGTAGTCTAAAATGTTCATAATTTCAAATCATTATCACTTCAGAAACATTATTATCTATTCTGTTTGAATTTCTTAAACCTACTATCTGATTTTCGCTCATTCTTATCCATATTAAACTTCAGTAACAGATATCATTAATATTTCTTATTGAGAAACCATAGTAACTGCCTTAATTGTTTGCTTGGTTCCAGAACCTTCTTTTTTTCATCCGAAGATAACCGTCTTAATAGAGAGGAGCTTGTTGAATTTACCAAACTTTTTCTTCATTCTTTGAGTTCCTAGTGGGACAAAGACCTTCAAGCTTTGAAATTTCAATGATGCTGACGTTGATTTCACGAAGTGAGATTGCTAGCTTCCCGTTCAAATTTCACCCTTATTACCGACTAGTCAATGAACTAGATGACGTATGGCATTGCCTTGACCATGAATCGAACCAGAACTTCCTGCATGGCTGGCGAGCATTTTTCTATTAAGCCATAGATTCTAATAGTATAAGCCCTGACTAAAACCAGATACCTTCTACTGATGAAGAAAATTAAGCAATAAATTCAGGTTTATTGAGTTACTGTCCAACAGAATCAAAAGAGTGTATACATTCACTAATTTATTGTAAACAGCATGCCTTAAAACATTTTCCAATAGTTTACTGGCGTGTGAAATTAATTTTGTTAAATTCTGTTTCAGAATCACTAGGCTTGTTTTTTAACGGACAAAAACAGTAATTAACTGACATTTTTTCCCTTCACGTTCCCCAGTGGAACATAGGACTCCAAGCTAGTGGCCTGAAGTTTCTGTAGCAGTGTTTACAGGTTGCTAGCCTCATGCCCAACCTTTCCTCTTCACCAGCATTATTTCTGGCTTAGCGAGGTAAAGGAGTGCGTCGGCCGGGGATCGAACCCCGGACCAGGTGCATGGTCGGCGAGCGTCCTAACCGCTATGCCACCGACGCACGTAATTAACTGAAAACATCTGTAATTGTGTCACTTTAAGTGATTACTTCTGAGCCTAAACTAACATTTTCTTGATTCACATGCTGACTGGGCATTATTTTTATTGACTTTATTCGGCTGTCGAAGCTCATCTAAAGGAGCTCCGGACTAGTAATTCAAAGGCTGCTGGTTCAAATCCTACCGCGACTGAGATTTTTACTTCACCTCCATCATCAGTCATTTCAAAAGTGCTTACTTCGATACAATTCACTGAATGCATCATAGACGGATATCATGCTTTATAGCATCTCTTTTTTGATACTCGTCAAAGGCTGATGGTGTAACAGAAGACACATTTAAAATTTGTTAAGTGAAAGGATATGCGTTGAGGTAAGAATAACTGTCTTTACTGAAACTAGGAGAGTTACCTACTAGGCTACTAAATCACAATGTCAGCCTCTTACTCAGTGGATATTGTTATGGTAATGATTGCCTCGTTGGTGTCCTCAGTGTGCCAAAAACCAGTCTATCGAGACTATTGGTGATACGGCTTTAAAACTTTCTCATTGTTACGGATTCATTCACTATTTATGATCCCCCATATCTATCAATTTCTCATGCTTGACTACGTTATCCATCTTTCTTCTGTAAATTTCTGTTCATCATAGTTCTTTTGAATCTATTTTTTCCTTCATTTCTCTACGTTTGTGTGATATAGACAGTGTGACAACTTAAGCTGCTTCACTTTTTCGCAAAGTCCTATATTAAAATTCAATCAATTAGACAGTAAGTGGTGATGAAATATTCAATTCCAACTCCACTATATAAATCCATCATTAACAAAATCTTTGATCAATATTTGAAACACGCAAACAGCTAAGGGTTTTTGATGGTTTTTAAAGAAAATTTTAATCAAACTTCTTTTACGATAGTTAGCTGTCACGTAATTACATCAGGATTTCTAACAGTCAGACCATGCCCTGAATAATTCATCTGTTTGCATAAGTATTTCGTTTTCAAATTGTATTACTTTCTTCAGAAATTGTGCCCACTTCATTGAAGACGTACCCTTAAAGTCGTATGTTTGAATTTTGCTAAAACACAAATGCTGACTATAAATATATCAATCTGCCAGTGAAGAGTCACTGAGCTCATCATTATTGTAGTCAAAAGACACCTGAACTCATGTGAGAAATGGTCAAAATCCATATTGTTTGATTTTTCAACACCCTTTCTGTTCACAGCCCTCAGTCGGCATCTCGTCAGGTGAGGTCAGAAGACGTTGTAAGTGTAAAAACTCAACGATGCTCTATTTAGTCCGCGTTTTACGTGATAGAGATAGCATTGAGCTTAAGACCTACAACCTACTATGTAATTAGCAAAATAAATAGCTCTTTTAATATATGTGTAAAACTTGGGCACTGTGATAGTAAGTAATTCCATATTAGTTATATTATACCTAATAAACAAACTAATATGGAATTAAATAGCTCTTTTACCTTATCCTATCTGTAATTTATTGTGACGCTATCTATTTCAATTATCTTATAATTTTAGTTATCCACACTATTATTATTATTATTATTATACATTTTTTGTACATTTTGCCTTTATTGTTGCTGCTAATACCATAAAACTGATTTTATCAATTCTGGTTACTTATACGCTGTAAAATAATTTTTGTTGTTGTCTAGTAAATTAGGTACATTACTGTACCAAATGCTGAGAATTCCACACTGTATCATAAGTACTATTTTGGAATAAAGCGAATCATTATTATTATATATGCGGATAAATAAATTGTAACATTAACAAAACAGCTATTACTTCTTCCGTGAAATCATCCCATAATGGACCCATAGGCTCTAATAAAATTTCAGATACACAACGTCTATCAGTTGGTCTCACATTAGGAGTTAATATCACCTAAAATGAGATGTGATACAAGATATTATATATATATAAATTTGTTAAGAATAAATATCAGCTTGAGAATCATGAAGAATTAAAAAGTAGTAGACTACTGTTTCGTCCTAGTTTGGAACAACTCAGTATCGCGCATCCATGACTCCTATAGGATCTTCAGATTACCAGGCTAGTCCGTTGACCATGTAGCTACGGTAGCGCTATGTCACGAATGGACAGAAATTAAAATCCATGAGTAACTGGATTCCCACCAGTGTCTGAATAACCAACAAATTGACGTCATAACCTAAAGGTCCGGGGTCCAATCCTTGGCGAGTTCATGAGTGCGCAATCCTGAGGAGTCCCAAACCAGGACGAAATAGCAGTGCAGTACTTTTCGGTTTCCAATGTTCCCCTACCTGATGTTATTTCGTGGCGAAACCAACATTGATTTTAATTCAAATTCTTACAAAACCCAAAATTTAAATAAGTAATATGTTTCAGACATTTTCCCTTGGTAATTTTTGTTTGTGTGCATGAGATTTCAGTACAATTTATGTACAGCTTATGAAAGTTAAGCCAGTTAAGAATTATGCAGACAGTCGGATGAATAGAAAACACTCGCAAATTATCCCAATGAACAAAGGTTTTAACTAGTTAAACGTAGAATATTAAGTCACTGAATTCCGACTGTCTGGATATCAATTTAAAATATCTTTATTTATACTGATCTTCCTACGCTGTATTCATCTTTTTGAAGCTGTACGGAAAATAGTGATCAGTTTGACACTTACGAAATGAGATGTGAATTGACCAAAAATATCTGATTTCAGAGGATTTTTACTCTTCTTTACACTGTCCACAACTATAGACAAATGTTGACTTTCCTTTGAGAATGCTCCTCAGCCACGTACTTGATCCGAGTTTGATTCACCGTTAACTCACTCGTAAGTCTCGTCCATCCGATAGTAAGTCTAGGAAAGAGTGAAGGTTAGGGCTAGCAATCCCATCCCCTAAAGAACAATACTGCAGACACGGAAACTTCAAAGATTAAAGCTTTAGGCTTTATTTTCCGCTCGAGATGTGGAGAAATGAAAGGAAAAAGAATTAAGATATTTTATCAACCAAGGGATGTCAACAAATCCTCTCACATAGTTTCTCCTGTCGTACTTCTACAATCTTAGACTGTTGTTTCTTATCTTGTACATTCTACGTCTGTACCTAGGCATAGGGTGTTTAATAATTCGCTTATTATAAAAATGATGCGGATCATTAATCCAGTTAATGTGTGCAAGCATCTGATTTAATTTTATGTCATCACCATTTTGTGTAACTTAACAGAACTGAGATATTTTGTGCTGATTAAACTTTCTCATTTAAACAATTCTCAGTAAGTTGCTGATGAAATCGATTCTAAACTGTCGAAACTAAATTCTGATGTTTGAATCTGTTCTTCCCTGTTAACTATCACTGTTGGTTGAAGTGATTTACTACTGCCTATATAAACCAGTAGTATTTAATCATGCATTTTCTATAGATGTTGACACTTGTACACAATTGCACTGGTTTAATTTGATACATTTTATATACAACCATTAATTGTTAGATTAGCCTACTGAAAAAAACTCTGGATAGACTGGCTTAGACTTAGTTTAACTTTCTTGATTTGCTGTATGATAATTTCTATATAATCTTTTGTGTGACGCACTTTCTTTTTGAAAAGAGACTTGTCTGCTGACTTTTTTTATTTCTTTTGAGTTCCAAGTGGAATATAGGGATTCAAGCTTGAACATTGAAGTTTCAGGAGCAGTAATGCTGTTTTTACTGAATACAGTTGTTAGCCTTACTCCAAACCTTCACTCTTTACCAGATTTACAACCAGAAAAACAAGGCACGCGAATGCGTTGGCCACGAATCGAACCCCGAACAGCGTACATGGGTGGTTAATGTTCTACCACTGGATCACTGACGTTCTCTGTTAGCTTATGTGTCCTTAATTCATAAAACAGGAGAATTCTCCACACCATCGACTAACTTAAAAATTAAATAAAATATACGGTTGAACTTATAGATACAGTCTGTCGAATTGCAGTAATCTGCAGAATCCATCATTGCATTACCTCACTCCCAATTGATTTAGTTAGGAAACTTGGTTGTTGGTCTTTATCGATAACAGGTTCAGCTTGAATTTGTTTTAGTAGTTCTGCATCTGACGGAATATCTGATACACTGATCTGGAATACAACAAAACAATACATACTTTCTAGGATGAAAACGTAAAGATTGGTTTGAATAAATAACATATCTGAAAAAGATGAAAATAACTTAATGTTTATTATGCGGTACTCGTATTCAGTTAAAAAAATATTCAAACTTTTAGAAAATTAACATTTTATTAGGAGTAAATTTGATTGGTCACTTAGAAGCAACTAATTTTATATGTTTAGACATTATTATGTTTTTTCCTTTGGTTCTGTGTGGAAAATATGGCCTCAGTAGCACATCTCCATCCCACTCTGTTCTCTGTAGTCATTTTTAGTTGGCTCCACGACTAACCATAAACTTCTATTTGATCTGCTCACGATCTTCTACATGACACCCTCGAACTCCAAAATCATAACCGTTTCCCATTAGGAGGACCTGGGTTGTGATGTTACTAAACAGTCTACTTAGCGTGTGTCCAATCCATGTCCGTTTCCTTTTGTAGATTTGTTGGTTCACTGTCAGAGTACCTTGTTGCTTATGCTTTCTGGCCAGCCACCTGGTCTTTGACATCAAGTCGGTGAAAAGTATCTGTTGATGAGAGTTTGCATTAGTCCTTTGAAACTCTTAACAAACCCCTGAACCATATAGAGGCACTGGCTTGACATTAGTGTATTAGATTTCCACACTCATTTCAGGTTAGTGAGGGTCTGTCTTGCTTTGCTAATACAGTCTATGACATCCTCATGCATGCAGCTTGTGGTTGGAAAGATACTGCCTAAGTAAATGAAAGAAATGACCTACTTTAGACTCCCCCGTTGTTGGTAGTAGATGGGTATCTTTATCACCCTGGCTAAAGTCATGACTTCCTTGCATGTCATACCAACTTGTTGTTTTTCGCCTGTAGGTCTTAAAGTTTGGGTACTACTGGACGTAAATCTCTGCGAAGTCGAGGCCTTCTGCAGTCTTCTTGTCGGTCCAACATATACCTGTTATCTGGCTCCCGCAGCCCGCCATATGACCCAGTACACCAAAATTAGGAACACCACTGTTGATATTAGGCAGCCGTCATTCTTCTCCTGTCTTCACTTCAGACGCTTCACTAAGTTTTCCGTTGTAGATCATTGGACATGTAGCATGTCAGATAGCTGTTGAATGAGGTTGATAAAGTTTTAGGGCACTCCACGAGGTTGCAGCAGTTCTCAAATCACTTCTTAGATAACTCTGTCAGAGGCTTTTTCAACGTCAGTGAAGATGAGGTAGATTTTAGACTGCAATTCTATGCTCTGTCCGATTATGATGATGATGTGTAGAGTCGCAATTTGGCCTACACTTGATTTGCCTTTCCTGAATCCAGCTTGTTCCACGAGGAGTTTTGCATCGAAAGCATCTTTCTACCCATCATTACTTGAGTGTAAGCATCTGACAATTTCGCTTTCATTCTGAGCCTTTCAGCAGTAATTACTATTTTAACTATCTTCAGTTGTCGCATGCATTTCCTCTGGAATTTTATCTGGAATTCAGTTTAGTATGTTTTCGTGCATACTGTTACTCATGCACGCTTTCCAAAATGTAGCTCTATAGATCTTAACAACTCGATATTATTCGAAAAACACTGGTGTTGTCAATAACAGTTACTCTTTGAGTAGTATGCGTATATATGACCACAGAATCAGATGAGGAAATTATCAAAAACAATATTCTTTGTTAAGTCTTTTTTCGTCTTCTGTATGCATTGAAGGGAATTTTTGCTTTAACAAGCTAATTGACCTGAAGCGCACTTCCAGATGGTATTTGATGGTTGAAGGAACGCATGGCTGATAAAGCATATTCATCATTAGGAACTAGGGAATATGACATTGGTCACTTTTTAGTGACCAATTATAATATCCATCACAGACCTACAGATTGTTAGTCATAGTTGGAATAATTTAGTGCTGACGTTTTTAACTGCAGCACCAGGTGATTCGGATTTGGGCCTCTGAGGGGAAATCGGTCGCAGATATGTTTTGCTTAAGTGTAAAAATAAGTCGACTGCCCTTTTTATTATTCAGTAGAAAAAGTTACGAATAATGGTATGAGAAAAGGCAGAGTGTATTTACAAAACAGTGAGCCATATGATTGTTTAGTCGACTTGTGAAATGGATAAATTCATCGCCTATGGCATTAGATATGATGGGGACGTTTGACTTACTAACAGCGACTACTCCAAAATTGTCGACATTAAATTTAATTGACTTTGGTAGTTCACCGAGGGACCGAATGTTAGTGTACGATTAATAGTTAACACAAGGGGAATAGTATAACAAAGCTTAGTTAATTTATATCGGCTTGAATATATGAAAAAACTCTGCAAAATCTTAGTTATATCTGGATAACTGCATAATAACTACCTACAAGCATGCACGAAATGAAATTTAATTTTGTATAGGGAGTAGGACTTTTGAAGTTTCTGTGTACTACTTTATGTCTGATGGAAGATGAAAATTAAGAAAAACTAGTCATATCGATTGGTTTGCCTTATCCACCTAACGCAACATCTCAAATGTTAGTTGAATGAAGGTACACTTGGTTAAATACTGCTGGTATTTTCGTATTTTCTACTCTCATTGACCATGTCTCACTGGCATAAAGTGAAAGTGACCAAGTTGGCAAATATCAAAGGATGCTACGTATCCATTTTCAGATTTATTCAACAACCAATCCATTTAGAATGACGTAATGTCCCTAATAAGTGAGGTGGTCAAGAAATTCAACAATTTCGGTCTCCATTTCTAAATAAGTGGACAGTAAAGAAGGTCCTGAATGAAAGATATGGTGAATAGATCTGAAGACAAAGGTATTACAGCAACAGAAATAATATGATGTCATTCATAGAAGAAATAAAATGTGATTAGTAAATCTTATTAACTGCGACGATCAAATTCATCTTATTTGTTTTCTTCATCATAAAAACGGCGAGGAAATGAACTGTATGGAAATCATATATATTACATATTTTACGTAATACATACGTTTTCTTTCATTTCGCTTTCTGTAGACCCAGGAAGTTGAGCGCACTGACATAATCAACTTCGTTGCCCTTATGTCCCAAACTTTCACACAGCTAAAAATCTTCATTACGTCATTGGTAGGTTAAGCAAATACTTTTAAGATAGAAACCAGCCAATAATTTCCACAGCGTTAAATTTTCCGAAATGGGTGGTTCGTTTGTACAGGTTTCTTTCTGACAATTGTCAATAAATTCGAGTGGAGACGATATTTGGCAAGATCTCTGGCGCAAGTTTGCAGACACAGGTCATTCATTATTCAGGTGACATTAAGGAAAAATGTTAGCTGTATTTTTCACCGGTTCACAGACTAGAGTCCAAAGTATATGAAGACTATCGACTGCTTCATACATTTGTACACTGTTAAGGATAACTAGCGATTTCACTATTTTTTTCGTACAGAAGCCTGCGCTGAAGATGTTGTCTAGAAGGAAAGCAAAAGCTTCCCAATGAAATCAACCAGCTCAGAGAACACAACTAAATCAAAATAATCCACCTGAGCTTTACATCTTCTCCATTACTTCTGTTGTACTTCTGGTTTGTCTCCTGTTATTATTATTATGAAGTGAGTGAGATTGTTGAATAGGCTTATAGATATGATAGAGAAGATTTGTAGCTCAGGTGGATGATTTTGATGTTGTTGTGTTCTCTGAGCTGGATAGTTAATTTGCGAAGCTTTCATCGCCCTACTAGGCGACATCTTCAGCGCATACTTCAATTCGAAGTGAGCTTTGTCTTTTGATGGCTAGCCGTCAAAAGACATGATATCCACTCTCTCATATCACTACATACAGACAACCACGGACATCAATTCGACTGGGACAACGTTCAAATATTAGACAGAGGAAACAACAAGAATGCTAGAGAATTTTTAGAAGCTTGGCATTCCAGTGAATCATCAATCAATAGACACATCGAGATAGACAAAATTTATCAACCGATAAGAAAGAATAGTCACACACAAAGGGTCAAAGTTCAAGCCAAAGAAGCAATGAGTGACAATACAAGTAACCTAGAAGGTGTGAAAACAGACAAAAACAACCAATCACGTCCAAGGTCACCAGGAGAGATGATTAATAAACTCGTGGAGAAACCTAAAAGCTCACTTCAGATTGAAGTATGCGCTGAAGATGTCGCCTAGTAGGGCGATGAAAGCTTCGCAAATTAACTATCCACCTCAGTGAATAGGATTTGTTTGTTAACTCAGTTACTTTTTAAATCCAGATAACGAAGTCAGATGCTTAAAGACTTGATCACCGTCATTTAAGACCAAGAGGTCGAGTCTGACTCAAACTTAGTATTACAAATGTCATTTATATATATATATATCTGCGCAACTAACTTGCAACAGATTTCGCAAGGAAACCGTTGTAGAAAAAAATAAAAACGAAGAATAAAACAGCATACACCCACTTGACCACTTTTGGTTGTCTTCGAAAAACACTGGAAATTATCATTCGCACACTCCGTCATAACTTGTGAGGACTCATCTTGATGCTCTAAAATGGTTTATTTACAGAAATATTTTCTTACCTGAAATAAAGCTGTTTCCCATAGGTGGTTTATCACTTAAAGTAATGAAACAGGTTTTCGGATTCAAAACTTACGCTTCATATATTTGGCCTGAATAACAATCCTGAAGTCGAAAGTCATTTGTACTGATGTATGTGGATATTTTATCTCGAAAAGCTTAAGAAAAGCATTCAGATGCATACTTCTTACCATCTTTAAGAGATTTGTGTATTGAAGAAAAACTTGAGGAATAGTTTTCTTTTACATTCGACTGGGTCAATATCTGTTTAGCTGCTTCTGCCAATACTTTTACGACATTTGGCCACACAGATTCTTCCCAACTTAAAAACACCTGTTCACATTAGGTCAAATGCACAAACAGAAAAGGATCTACAGAATCTCGAGCAGAAGTATTAATTTCCTGCCAAATATTTTCAACCTCTTGTACAAGTATATTAACCTAGAAAAAATTTAACAGTTTCGTCTAAAATAATGAGTTTCATTACCAGATTTGTGTCAAAATCTTCATCAAGAATGTTGCCTAACTCTGCTAATACTGACTTTTTGAAACTGCCTAAAGTGATGCACATTCGCAGATCTGTTCACTGGTATTTGTCTTCTAGATATATGAAAGATAGTATTCACCACAATCTCTATATATGCTGTAGCACCTGTGAACCAAGACAAAGTTTGTAAAACGTTCTATTTTCCTTCAAAAGTATAAGTGGGATTAGAAGAAAGTATCTGAGAATGGAACATGTTAATATGCGCTTTAAAATATGTGCAGATAAATCAACAGTTATTAGTGTTAGTGCGCTCTCAAAAATGACAGTTCTTCAGACTGAACATGGAAGCATACTGTCATCCATTCCTAGTAAAATTACGACTTACTGTTTCTGAATTAGATTTATTTCAAGTAAGCTAATTTTGAAAAGCAGAGTAGCGTCTAATCAAAGGAGATCTAGTTGAATGCTACCTGAATCATTTCTTCATGTGCACATGGTAAAAGTCTGGCTACATAAGCTAGAAAACCAAAATTATCTGCATATAACGCTAAGGAGAAATAATATTTCTTACTCTCTACTAAAATAGAGGTCAGTCATTTGTGTTCTAGTCATACTAGCATGCTAGTCAAAGATTTGAAAGACTAAGTTATACAAACATTGAGGTTCCCACAGCTACGGAGAATTGGAAAGCGTCAAAGGCAAACGGATCTGTGTGTCCAGTGGTATCTGTTAAGGGGTGCTGAGAGCTCTGAACAACCCTTCCCTAAACTTCAGTTTCTCTGTAACTCACTGATGATACAACACAGTTCATTCGAAGGAGTATTAGTTCAAGTTTGTCTGGTGGCATACTTAATGCTTTAAATGACATACCATTATTCTTAAAATGGTCTATCAAGAAAGCGATTGAATCAGTGCCAGAAAAATTACTGCATAGAAATTTACTAAGAAACTCAGCTCTCTGTAACTTTCATGACTTTTTAAGCAGTGATGCTTGTTGGGAGAATATATTTGTTGTCTGGAACATTTGGACTTACTATAAAGAACTAAGACAGTTGAGTCACATACAAATGTTAGATTCCGTTAAGGGATTTAATACATGAAGATTTTTCTGGTGGATACACAGAGACAGTTATTATGATTAATTAAGGAATATCTTCACAACAGATAACAGTTCAATGAAGTAGATTACTCTTCACTTCAGTTTTCAGTCTCTATTTCAGACAGATGACCTCAGGATGAGAAATGAAGTAAGGATTTAGACGTCTTCCTATGTAGATCAGTAGGTTTATCATCGCTGCAGTTAGGCGGGAGGTAAGGTGTACGGTATTTCTGAATGGCTTTCCAGATTTAATGGACATAGTGTGCGAACTGCATGTACGCTTATATTCAAAAAACTTGATATTAACCTCAACGAGTTTGAAATAAGATAGGAACGTTCAGTAGTAATTTCTATTACTGTATTGTTTGAATGCTTACTGTTGTATTTTAATATTTGTTATATAAATTACAATTAATTTTGAAAAACATAAATTCCTAAATTCTGCCTAATCTGTGTTGTTGTTTGGTTCCGTGCGATTTGGTCATTGCGAAATACTATTGCAAGTAACTGTTACACGTTAAGAGATTAATCCAGTGACGGATCTTCGAAGAATAATTAAACTGGAAAACAAAACTCATCCTGATCAAGCTACTGAATTTTGACTGCATTGTAGGAATAACAGATGAATAAGGAGAGATTATGGTGCTTGTTATCGCTCATTATCTCTGGCATTCGGAAAAAACTCGCTCATTCTCTAGTTGGAGGCCTCATATGAGCAGTAAACAACTGGAAGTAGAGTAAAACAAGTTAAAACCTCCTGGGATTTATTACAGTTTAAATTCACTGACAACGGGATTTCCTAAACATTATTATTATTTCATATTAATCCTTTACGTTCCAAGTGGAACATACGGCTTCAAGCTAGAGCTTTGAGATCTCAATAGCGGTGGTTTTCATTTTTATGAGGTGGGCTGCTAACCTCATGTGCAGCCTTCTGTCTGTAGTGGAATTACTATCGGCTTAGCCAGGCCTAGGAGTAAGCCGGCTGGGGATCAAGGACCACACAAGTGGTGGGCGGGCTAAACATCTAACCATCGCCCAGAAACAAAGCCAAATTTTCCAAGTTTTCTAAAAAGCATCTTGGGTACACATGACTCTTGGGTACATTTCTGTCATGATCCCCCGAATGTTTCCGAAATTTTGAGGATTCCCAAACACGAATTTAAATGCCTTTAAGGTTCACCATGACAACACAGCATCACACTTCTCAGAGAAATGACAAAATTCATTTTCACACTTTGTGATATTACCGAATTCGGAATTAGAAAGAGTTGCTGTGTACCAAAAGAGCACTACCTACTATCATACAGTTGTCAAGAATAGTTGATGGTTATAATGGAAAATCAGAATCATGCGTAATGTGTGAAAATATATTGTTAGGTCATTTCTTCAAACCTTTTACTTATGTTCTCAAATTCTTTATCGACTTCATTAATTATTTGACACTTTATTTACTTTATTTATTTACTTTATTTATTTATTTACCCCTATCAAATGTCCAATATCTACTGTACGGGCTAATATAAGCCAAATTGGTTTCTTAGAAGTCACTTCCTGGCATTTAGTTAGACGGTTCCTGGTCGTCGATGAGCTTCCGCGTAGTTCGTCACACCACTCATCTGCCGAAACCCTGATAGACCCCAGTGGGAGCAGCATGGAATATTATCAATGTTCGATTTATGGCATTCAGTGTGTTAAGAACGTGAAGCTTATGTAACTGGAGTCAGCTTTTCCGACAGTAAGCAATCCTCCCGTGAAACGCGATAACAAGAAGAAGAACAGTAATAGTAATAATAAAATAATATTATATTAACAGTTAAGCTGCAGGCAGACCTAAAACTTCTGGAAGACTGGGTGGCGGTCACTGGTGTTGTGTTGGTGTGAAACAGATAATGTGTCCAACGGAATATTATTTCACATATACCCACAGTTCAATACTGCATTAGCAACAGAATACTATATATGTATTTGAACATTCTTTTTCATATCGTTTAATATAAATGCAAATCACACGCTCAGTGATTGCTTAAAGAATATAAACTGTATAGATATACATAGCGGTTTGATTAATTGAAAGTATACCTTGACTTTCGTGTCTTGCCTTCTGCTGTTACAGTATGAATTTCAACCTGAAAAAGTACAGAGTAGTGCAACTACGCACCTGTAGGCTGCAGAATATAAGTTACAACGAAAACTTGTCGTGCACGGCTCCGGAGCGTGAATTAGGTCTAGTTCTAGAGGGAAAAATGCACGCAAAGGTGAATTATACGGGGGATGTAGCGAGAGAATATGCAGTAATACACTTTACACGTACACAGTTAAATGCGCTCCTTCCTGACCCCATTCTAAGGCTATACAAACATAAGTAAAACCCCACCTCGAAGTGCAAAATATCATTGCTCCCCGGCTCCTTGTAAGAGACCCTAACCTTTTGGAACGAGTCTACAGATGGGCAACAAAAGGGGTGATGTGTCTTCGAAATAAACCATATGATAGATGACCACAGAAATATGGTCTTTTCGCGCTTATCTGCCATCAGCTTAGAGGTAGACTTAACTGTTGCGTATAAGATAACAAATGACCAGAACCACCTGAACAAAGGTGTTCTGTCACTAAGTACCTATAGGTTTTATCGTGTCAATCTACGAAAGATAGCTCTTCATAGGGCAAAGACTTCCAATTCTCTTCACTGCGAGTTTGCCGTCCCTGGAACTGTCTATCGGCAAGTGTGGCTACTGCGCCGTCTGTGATCAGCCTTAAGCGAAGGCTGGACAATCATGCACTGACGCAAAAACTGAGTCCAAACGACCTATCCCTCTTAAACTCGTAGATTATTAATGGATATACACATAATCTCGACTTTTTATCTTCTTCACATTCTCTCTTGTCCTACTCCCCCGACTACTACAACCATTAGGTCCCTTATACTATTATTATCATCGATACATACATATATATATACATCAATTTCAAACTTCCTTAACTGTATGTTTTTACGTTTTATTCCTTTCTTTTTACTTTTAATTCTACATAACCTAGACAAACTATATATGTTGTTATTATAATTAGCTCTTTTTTCGACTATTGTGTGAAAGGACAAACCCCGCTCACAAAAGAAACACTGTCTTAACACACTGTATACTACAAACTACATAAAATTAAGTCCAGCACCACTCCTATTTGAGTCAACCAAAGCAACGCTAGTCGACTAGCTGGACGAACTTTATAGAAGTTTATCGAAGACCAGATATTTTTACCTGACAACCAAGAAGTGAGCACAAGGAGTTTTGCATTAGCTCGTAAAAACGATACTGGATGTTGGAATTTGAAAAGAATGAATGAATGAAAACGCAGAGTGAGCAGGAGGGTGAGTCAAAGAAAATTTCACCTTGGACTCACTAATAAAGCGCAGCGTATGAGGTTTTCTGCTTATTCTGGTCTATAGAACAGTCTGTTGTTCATAGTCTGTGTGTTGCTTAATGATTATATGGTTTAACCTCAAGAAGCCAACAACTTTGTCGCACAACTATGAACGCTTTCCGAAGAGTCAGAATCTTCTTTAAGGAAGTATGAAGCAGTGCAAAATTATGCACTCTGAGGTGTGTTTAAATGCACTTGTACACGGGTTATGTAAATCCCTTGATAAGCTCGTGTCTGAGCGAAATAGCTGTCTGAGTAACACATCTTTTGCAGAATATGGATTAGTCATGTCACTTGAGTAATTCATGATTGTATCCAGTTTCTCCGTTGGAGAGAAACCTAAATCCACAAGCTTACAAGAATTCTAAACTTATTCTAACGTGTTCTTCGATAATGCCTTTATAGGGTAAATGAAGATTTTATCTACCCACTATGTTCTGAAGTAACGCTAGTTAGCGCTTAATATGCCCTATGAGGGCTGTAACAACGCTGATAAGGAAACCAGGTAGGTTCCGATCTACTCCTGAAAACGCCTAGAAAAAGAACACGCGCGTGTTCTAAATTA